GTGGATTTTGCATATTACATTTACAAATTGTGAGCTCGTGCAGTTTCACAGTGCTTCAAGGGCTCTGTAAGGTGTTTGGGGAGAGCAAGGAACAGAGAGAGAAAGTCCAGTAAAGGAGGCACGGTACATGTACACAGTGGAGTGCTACTCAGCTGTGTGAAGGACGAAATAACGCCATCTGCAGCAACAGGGGTAGACCTAGAGATGATCATACCAGGTGAAGTAAGTCAGAAAGAGACAAATATCATATGACATCACTTATACGTTAAGTCTAAAATGTTAAGTCTAAGAAACACATGATCTCATCAGTGAAACAGAAACAGACTTACAGACGTTGAGAACAGACTCCTGGTTGCCGAGGGGTGTGGTGGGGGAGGATGGATTGGGAGTCTGGGATTAGCAGATGTGAACTCTTATGTATAGAATGGATAAACAGCAAAGTCTTACTGTACGGCAAAAGGAACTATATCCATATTCTGTGATAAACTGTAATGGAAAAGACTATGAAAAAGAACATATATATATGGTTGGCCAAAAAGTTCATTTGAGTTTTTCCATAGCATGTAATGGAAAAAGCTGAACAAGCTTTTTGGCTATATATCACTGTGTTGTACAGTAGAAATTAACATGATATTATGCCAGCTATACTTCAATAAAAAGAGAGAGAGAAAGTCCAGACTTTATAGCAGCCCTTTGTAAAGGCTTCCTCTGTAAGCTGTATTTTCCAGGAATGACAGGCTGTGGGAGACTGTGTAAAGAGAGGCTGTGTTAGTGGAATATTCTATTCTGAAGGAGTGATAACACAGAATTAGAGATAATTACTTTAATTTAAAACTCATTGCTCTAATGACCACAGATGTAGGTCTCTCCCCCTCCCCCACCCCTGTCTTATAGGTTAATTATTCTGACTCATGGTCATTGTTTAAAACACATAGAATTCCTTGTTTAACACCTATCCTTACCCGTTTCCACAGGCTGTAAGACATGGCTGTTCCTTCCTCTGTCTGGTCTTGAACTGACTTCATCAGAGCACAGGCTTTAGCTGGAGACAGTCCTCACTGACTTCCCGGTACGTGCTGGGATGGGACAAACTGTTGATGGTGGAGGTACCTTTTGGGGCTCATTGTCTTGGTATTGAAGCTGTATGTGTTGCACATCTTAATTTTGGGATCAGAGAGGCAGGTGGGTGCTAATACCATCCTGCTATTTTCTAGCATCATAACTGAGCACCTTAACTTGCCTGAATCTTAGTTTTCTCGTTTATCACCTTGGGATAATAATATCTCCCTCCCTGACATATTGGAAGGACTCAACGAGATAATGGACCTGGAAGGCCCTCCATGAATGTTTATTACATGTAGACACAGGTCATACAGTCTGGATAATAAGCTCTTATTTCTTATTAGGGGTCATGGGTGCGGGAACAATCACACTCTTGACATTGTACACCCAGTGTCTGACATGTAGTAGGCACTCAGAACATAGTTATTCATCAAATAAATGTCTGGATCATTATTTTATGGCAATAGTCAAGGAGCTTAGAGTTTTGTCTGAGGTTAAGTTCAAACCAAGATGCATATTTTTATTACATTTGTTCTATGTAAGGAGAGGTTCTGTATCTAAGGATGTAAGATTTTCATAGACTTTAAAAATTATAATATGTCATCATTTAAAGTAAGGATGAGCAAGTGCTAGTCACTCACTTGTATCCGACTCTGTACCACTCCGTGGACTGAAGCCCTCCAGGCTCCTCTGTCAAGGGATTTCCCAGCAAGAATACTGGAGTGGGTTGCCATCTTACTCTCACTTGATGAAACCCTGTTTTTACAGCGTGTTGCCGTAGAAAAACTTCCTTAACTTGCCTTGAACATAGCACTGACCTTCAAAATTCCTTCAAACTCTAGCCTAACTCTCTGACACTGTAAGTCATTGGTATTAGAGACTGACCTTCTTCAGTCACTCACATGAAATTACATATGGAAAGTTCCAAATGGTGCTTGACACATGGTGGACGCTCAGCAGATTCTCTTGCCCCCTTTGGTGGTTTATCCCAGCACCTTCATATCTAGCTACACTCAGTGGAGGGTTCATCATCACAAATCTCCAGGGGATCTTCCCGACTCAGGGCTCGAACCCAAATTTCCCACATTGCAGGCAGATTCTTTACCATCTGAGCTACTTGTGAAGCCCATAGTATAATCACACTACCCCAACTTTTTTAGGGTTGCAAGACACAGTCATCTGTAACCAGATCTTTGTTGGATTATTTGAAAGAATGAACACATGCAATCCTAGATGAAAGATATCCAAACAAGCATTGGATCTGCCCAGGCACCCAGACTGGAGCTGGGCAGAGATCCAGGGAGCTGGGCAAATAAATCATCCTGCTGTAAATGTCAATAGTGCTCGTTTTTGCATGGCAGTGCTGGACAGCGATCTCAGGAAGTAGTTACTGATCAGCTGGCATGAAATAGTAGTTGATTCACAACTACTATTTTAACCTGATTCACAGGTTAAAATTTTCCAACCCCTTGTAAATCAAAACCAGTGACCAAACTCAACTGAAAAATGATGGTTTTAGAAGTTTGTGGAAACATTTAGAGAAAAAAAATCCGTATGCAGTTTCTTGAAAAAGTGAAGGCAATTCACAGCATAAGTGAGTAAACAAGGATGGCCAAGGCCGGGCGGGTGAGTCTGATCTACGATTCACAGACCGAGTTATATTTGGGTGTAAAACGTTCTTTTCCTCCCCAGATTTACGGAGGTATAACCCTGACAAAAATTATGTGTATTTAAGGTATGCAAATATTTTGATACCTGCATACATTGTGAAATAATCATTACTATGGAGCTAATTAACATATGCACCACCTCATATTATAAAGTATTCTTAAAGTGCTGAAAATTATCTGCGTAAATTCATCTCATTCACTTTATGGACTTGCTGAAATTTTTATCTCCCTCTGTGTCACCGTTTAAGTAAACTGTCAGCAGTCCTTATTACAAAGGGTTAAACCACAAAAGGTAATTAACAACACTTGTTTTCTATGTTTACCACAGAGTTGAGAGACCCTTTTGCTATTGAGCTACTGATTCCCACTGGTTGATATCTTATCTTCTAAAGTGGTTTTCACTTGTTTAATTTATACACCAGCTTAAGTAGCTTATATTCCCCGAGTAAGTTTACAAACACATAGGGTGTATACAACAGCTTATATTCTCATTAAAGGCAATACTCTCACTTTAAAAAGCTTTCTTTTAAATTTCCCTGTATCTAGTACAATAATTATATTTGTTGGGTTGGAGCTCACATAATACTGTTGTCTGACAAGAAGTTAGAAAAGGAAGACAAAACTGTCAAGAAAGGAACCAAGCCATAGAGGAATCCTTATTTTGTCCCTAACTTGTGTTGATTGCAAAGCTTTTACTGCTCCTCTCTTTCGTTAATAGTTAAAGCCTTTGTTCCCTGTTCAGAAACTGCCATGTTTATGGTCGTGGAATGCTAGGACTAGAATGACATCAGAAATTATTTATTTCAGTTTTAAAACTATTGTTTTTTTCAGTTGTGGAATGCATTTGTCTGATGAAAGTTTTATCAGGAGCCCAATAAGGAAGAAAAAAAGAAAAGAAGGGAAAGAGGACAGACAGACAAGGAAGACAGCGGGAGCAACCGGGCCAAGAGTCTTTTGAGGAAATAAAAATAAAATAGATGAGCAGGTCACAGAGTGCAGGAAGGGAAGCTGTACAGGTTTTCTGGAGACATTGGCTCCAAATTGATCAGTCCTTTGTTTCTTAGCCAATTAGTTCATTTCTAGAATGTACCTCCAGTCACCCTGCTCTGCCCCACCCCGTCTCTGTCAGTAGGACTTGATGATTTACATCTTCCCATTGTTATTCAACTATTCTAGTAGATAAATTAAATAGCAATCCCCGATCCCCACCCCAAGGATGCTGCAGGGGAAAACCCCCAAACTTTGAAAACAACTTAAAGCATGTTTTGAAAGTAATTTGTAACAGTAAAAAAAAAAAAAAGTTTTGAATAAACTTTAGAAATTCAAGCATAAGAGAATATCCAACACATGGGTATAAAGTAAAATGGTTCTTTGCATCTTTATCTGGTATAAGGGTTTGGGTTGAAAGGTATAGGTCAGCTATTACTATGAGGTCTCTTTAAAGAGACTCAGTTAGAAAGATCAAAGAAAATATACAAATAGTAAGTTAAATATTTAATTTAGTTGAAGGCACAGAGAATGAGAATTTGTTTAAAAATATGGGACACACATTCCTTTTTCTTTTCTTTTCTTTCGTCATTAATCAATGACAGTTGTACTCTGGATGCTGAAATGGCACTTGGAAGAATGCCAGTGTGGGAGGGGCAGAGTTCATATATTTCCATTCCTGACAGGGTGTGGATTGAAACTTACCTGGCCAGCTGCTAGTATTTACATCTTCCCATTGTTATTCAACTATTCTAGTAGATAAATTAAATAGCAATCCCCGATCCCCACCCCAAGGATGCTGCAGGGGAAAACCCCCAAACTTTGAAAACAACTTAAAGCATGTTTTGAAAGTAATTTGTAACAGTAAAAAAAAAAAAAAGTTTTGAATAAACTTTAGAAATTCAAGCATAAGAGAATATCCAACACATGGGTATAAAGTAAAATGGTTCTTTGCATCTTTATCTGGTATAAGGGTTTGGGTTGAAAGGTATAGGTCAGCTATTACTATGAGGTCTCTTTAAAGAGACCCAGTTAGAAAGATCAAAGAAAATATACAAATAGTAAGTTAAATATTTAATTTAGTTGAAGGCACAGAGAATGAGAATTTGTTTAAAAATATGGGACACACATTCCTTTTTCTTTTCTTTTCTTTCGTCATTAATCAATGACAGTTGTACTCTGGATGCTGAAATGGCACTTGGAAGAATGCCAGTGTGGGAGGGGCAGAGTTCATATATTTCCATTCCTGACAGGGTGTGGATTGAAACTTACCTGGCCAGCTGCTAGAAGCAACTCTGAAGGCAAGAAGGTAAATGCTAGTATTACCTGTTATTTTTAGTGATGAACATTGCACTGGAATTTTACATTAAATGATTGAAACTCAAAGCTGACTTGATTGAAATCAAAGCCTGTGCAATTTTATTTTTATTAAATCAAATATCTTTTAAAATAGAGCAATTTGTTTTACGATGGTTTGAATTTTTTGTAAATGTGGCAATACTTGTATCTTTCACAAGTATTTCTTGTGTAAGAATTGTTTATCATTTACTTAATTATAACCAGGCTTTATATTTATTCCAGTAGAATGATATCACCTATGTGAACTTAGAATTTCATTCTTGGGTTCTTAATAGCTTTGTGGAAATTATGAAAATTATAAGTCAACTATTTAAATTATTATGAAATAATTTGGGGATATAAATATTTTCTTTCTATTCTAAATAGGTAAGAATAATTTCACTCAATGTTTTGGGTTGTTAGAAAATCTGTTTAGTCTAAGCTTTAAAATTTTCACTTTAAAGGAGACCATATTTTAATAAGTGAATAATTTCCAATATAGTAGGAAATTAATCAAAAGTTGATTCTATTGTATAATATTTATTGATTACAGATGCCTGCAGAATGTATACAGTTAATAAGAAATAATTATCATCTAATATTTCAAGCATTAGAATTGTTTGCAATGGAAAAGAAGTAAATGATAGCAAATAAATCTATAAAAATTTATCAAGTGCTCATATATGCCATCATTCTTTATGATGGGATACAAAGATGAATAAAAAACATGGAAGCTACCCTCAAGAGAATGCTTTGGAAGCAAAGATGTGTGCTCAGCGTGTGGTCAGTTGCTGCCCGTGCTGACTGTGTGGTCAGTTGCTAAGTTGTGTCTGACTCTGTGACCTCAGGCCTGGAAGCTGCCAGGTTCCTCTGTCCATAGGATTCTCCAGGCAAGAATACTGGAGTGGGTTGCCATTTCCTCCTCTAGGGGATCTGCCTGACCCAGGGACTGAACGCAGAGATCTTTACTCAGTGGTAGAGAATTGCACTGCAGGTGGATTCTTTACCACTGAAACACCTGGGAAGCCATGGAAGCAAAGATAGAAATACAAAAAACAGAGTGATATGGGAAACGTACAAATGTGTGTGCTTCATGTGAACAAATATACATATGTTTCATATATACATATGGTTGCAAGATTAGAAAGCACATGGAAAAATAGAGGCAAATTGATTTGTCAGTATTGTGAGAGCAAAATTCAAATTTGTTGAACTTGCTTGGCCCTGGGAACTATACTCAATATCTTGTAATAACCTATAATAAAAAAAGAATCTAAGGGTCTACTGCACTGCAGGCAGATTCTTTACCATCTGAGCCTCCCGGGATGCGCCTGAATAAATAGATATATGTATATATGTAACTGAATCACTTTGCTGAACTTCTGAAACTAACAGAACATTTTAAATCACCTATATTTCAATAAAAATTAAACAAAAATAAAAAACAAACAAGCCCCCCCCCCCCCCCCCNAGACACGGGTTGGATCCCTGGGTCAGGAAGATCCCCTGGAGGAGGCCATGGCAACCCACTCCAGCATTCTTGCCTGGAGAATCCCAGGGACAGAGGAGCCTGGTGGGCTACAGTCCATGGAGTCACAAAGAGTCAGACACAACTTAGAAACTGACCACACAGTCAGCACAGGCATCAACTGACCACCTGCTGAGCACACATCTTTGCTTCCAAAGCATAATTCTCTTGAGGGTAGCTTCCAGGTTTTTTATTTATCTTTGTATCCCAGGAGTTCCCCTCTAGATTGAATATTTGCTGGAAAAATTTTTCCACGTTGCATTGAAATCTGTGTAAATGCATCAAAAATGTAGATTGGAATTGCAAGACTGCAAACCCTTTTATCTCAAATCCAGACTGACTTACATAATTTCATATTTAAGTCCCAATAACACCTCCTGTCAGCCATGGTGGTGGTGTTTAATCACTAAATCATGTTTGACTCTTTGCGACCCCATGAACTGTAGCCCACCAGGCTCCTCCATCCATGGGACTCTCCAGGCAAGGATACTGGAGTGGGGTGCCATGCCCTCCTCCAGAGCATCTTCATGACCCAGGGACCGAACCCAGGTCTCCTGCATCTCCTGCATTGGCAGGTGGGTCCTTTACCACTAGAGCCACCGGGGAAGCCCCACATATACATATATCTACTCTCTTTTAGATTCTCTCCCCATATAGGTTATTATAGAGTATTAAGTTGTGCTCTGGAGCAGGAGTGTTATCTGCGCCCGCAGGCAGCATGATGCAGGAGGAAAGAGGGAGACTTTGAACTTGGGCTGAATTGACTGGTTTGAACACCAGCTGCATCACTTAATGGCTGGATGTACTATGAAGATACTTTCTAGACTTATGAGATGTTTTGAGAACTAGAGACAATATTTATGAAATGCTGATCACATTGAAGGCTCAAATGAAGTGGTAGCTATTATTACAAAGTCATCATGGGTGAAGGTAGTGCTAATTTCTTGAGCTGAATAGATTTTTGAGGGACCTTTCTCTCTTAAAAAGTTGTTTCGAGTCTAAAGATAATGATACTGACATAAATTATGTACAAGTTTTTCAAGTTGTAGTTTATTAAGTGGCAGCTTATATCAGCAGTCAGCCTTTAGATTTAGACCTAGCCAAACAGAAGCTTCTTGCATGGTGGATCTTTTCTAGATTAGATATAAAGTACTTCCTGTTACTATTTGGGGAACACATACTATTTGTATCTGGAGCCGGATTTCATTGTGATAAGTTACTCTTGAAGTTTGAATATAATCTTAGCCCTTGTGTTAAACACAAACTTGCAATGCTTAAAAATTAATTGCTATGTTTAGTAATATATTTACAGCATATTTTAAAATTATATATAACTTTAAAAAGTTATATATGCACATACACTACTACATAAAAATAGACAACCAACAAGGACCCAACGGGGAGATATAATCAATATTCTGTAGTTCAGTTCAGTCACTCAGTTGTGTCCAACTCTTTGTGACCCCATGGACTGCAGCACACCAGGCTTCCCTGTCTATAATACAACTCCCTGAGCTTGCTCAAACTCAAATCCATCGAGTTGGTGAGGCCATCCAACCATCTCATCCTCTGTCGTCCCCTTCTCCAGCCTTCAGTCCTTCCCAGCATCAGGGTCTTTTCCAATGAGTCAGTTCTTTGCATCAGGTGGCCAAAGTATTGGAGTTTCAGCTTCAGCATCAGTCCTTCCAATGAACACCCAGGACTGATCTCCTTTAGGATGGACTGGTTGGATCTCCTTGCAGTCCAAGGGACTCTCAAGAGTCTTCTTCAACACCACAGTTTAAAAGCATCAGTTCTTTGGTGCTCAGCTTTCTTTATATTCCAACTCTCACATCTATACTTAACTACTGGAAAAGTCATAGTTTTGACTAGACGGGCCTTTGTTGACAAAGTAATGTCTCTGCTTTTTAATATGCTGTCTAGATTGGTCATAACTTTTCTTCCAAGGAGCGAGCTTTTAATTTCATGGCTGCAATCACCATCTGCAGTGATTTTGGAGCCCCCAGAAATAAAGTCTATCACTGTTTCCATTGTTTCCCATGTTTCCTATTTGCCATGAAATGATGGGACCGGATGCCATGATCTTTGTTTTCTGAATATTGAATTTTAAGCCTACTTTTTCACTCTCCTCTTTCACTTTCATCAAGAGGCTTTTTAGTTCCTCTTCACTTTCTGCCATAAGGGTGTTGTCATCTGCATATCTGAGGTTATTGATATTTCTCCCAGCAATCTTGATTCCAGCTTGTGCTTCTTCCAGCCCAGCATTTCACATGATGTACTCTGCATATAAGTTAAATAAGCAGGGTGACAATTTACAGCCTTGACGTACTTCTTTCCTAATTTGGAACCAGTCCGATGTTCATGTCCAGTTCTAACTGTTGCTTCTTGACCTGCATAGTAGGTTTGTAGTAGTAGTAGGTTTGTAGTAACCTCTAAGAAAAAAGAATCTGAAAAAAGAATTCATTTATATAGCTGAATCACAGTGCTATACACCCAGAATCAACACAACATTGCAAACAACTACACTTCAATTTAAAAAAATCAAGAGAATTAAAATAAAATATGTAATATGTATATGTATGTATATATAGTCATAAAGTGTTAGTCGCTCAGTTGTCTCTAACTCTTTGTGACCCCAAGTACTGGAGCCCGCCAGGCTCCTCTGTCCGTGAGACTTCCCAGGGAAGAACACTGGAGTGCGTTGCCGTTTCCTTCTCCAGCAGATCTTCCCGACCCAGGGATCGAATCTGAGTCTCCTGCATTGCCAGTGGATTCTCTACCACTGAGCCACCAGGGAAGCCTGTTCTGCAATGAGTGTGGATTTCTCAAAGGCAAGAACTGTCTTGTTCAGTTTATCTTTTCATACTCAGTGTCTAAACCAGTGGGAGAACTTCATAAATGTTTGTTTATGGAAAAATTATTGTCAGATTTAGCCAGTTTCTAATTTTAAAATTAAAAAAACCCCTCAGAAGATGATGGCCATATGTCATTTAATGAAGTTATTCAGTGTTCATGTTTTCCATATTTTAGAGTTTTGTATAAAGCCAGGTGGCTCAGGTAAAAGTGTCCACCTGCAATGTGGAAGACCCGGGTTCAATCCCTGGGTTGGGAAAATCCCCTGAGAAGGAAATGGAAACCGACTCCAGTACTCTTGATCGGAAAATTTCACGGACAGAGGAGCCTGGTAGGCTACAGTCCTTGGGATCACGAAGAGTCGCACAGGACGGAGCCACTTTTGGGCTCCCCTTGTGGCTCAGCTGGTAAAGAATCCGCTTGCAATGTGGGAGACGTGGGTTCAATCCCTGGTTGGGAAGATCCCCTGGAGAAGGGAAAGGGTACCCACTCCAGTATTCTGTCCTGGAGAATTCCATGGACTGTGTAAGTCCATGGGGTCTCAAAGAGTCGAACATGACTGAGCGACTTTCACTTCACTTTCACATAAAGCCAGAAGGATTTTCCTTATTATAGATGCTTACACAGAGTCACTCAATATTCACTGCCACTCTCAGGCCACTCTTATCTTATTACCCTTTTCATCTCTGCCTTGGAAGGGGAGGTGGTGTGAAGCTATGTTGTCTGCTGTGGAAGCTTAGAACTGGCCCTATGGGGTCGTTCCTGTTCAGTCATTCAGTCCAACTCTTTTTCGATCCCATGGACTGCAGCACGGCAGGCTTCCCTGTCCTCCTCTGTCTCCCGGAGCTTGCTCAAACTCATGTCCATTGAGTCATTGTTGACATCCAACCATCTCATTCTCTGTCACCCCCTTCTCTTCCTGCCCTCAATCTTTCCCAGCACTAGGGTCTTTTCTAATGAGTCTGCTCTTTGCATCAGGTGGCCAAAGTACTGGGGCTTCAACTTCAGCATCAGTCTTTCCAATGAATGTTCAGGACTGATTTCCTTTAGGATTGACTCTTTTGATCTCCTAGCAGTCCAAGGGATTCTCAAGAGTCTTTTCCAGCACAGTTTGAAAGCATCAACTCTTTGGCACCCAGTCTTTTTATGGTCCAACTCACATCTGTATATGACTACCGCAAAAACCAGAGCTTTGACTAGATGGTCCATTGTTGGCAAAGTAATGTCTCTCTTTTTAAATATGCTATCTAGGTTTGTCACAGCTAACTTAGTTAATGCTCAGGGAAAGTAAGAACAAGATAGTAGTTGGAGCCACGTTAGGGAACTCATGCAAAGTTCACAAAATTGAGTGCCGATTCCATGTTCTCTTTTTGAATATTTATTTGGCTGCATTGTGTCTTAGTGGTGCCATGTGAGATCTTCCACGGAAGCACATGGACTCCCTAGTTGCGGCCTGTGGGCTCCGTAGTTGTACAAGGGTTCAGTTGCTCTGTGGCTTGGGGGATCTCAGTTCACAGCATTGCAAGGCACGTTCTTAGCCATGGGCCACCAGGGAAATCCAGATTCCTTGTTCTTTATGCACAAACAAGCAGAGAGAGTTTGGTGGTGGTGGTGGGGAGGGGGTCGGGGCTGCTCTGCAACTCACAGAGTAAAGATCATTTCCGAATGAGAAATGAGCGCCCAAAGCAGTAGGCACAGGCAAGGGGCAGGCTCGGCCTCATCCTTCTCTCAGCCAGGGTGTCATCCTGTGCAAGCTCCCTCACCTCTGACGGCCTCGTTGGTTTTTTTTTTTAATCTGGGGAAGAAGGGAGTGGCCGGAATGAACAACCCTGCTCTTTGTAAAGCAGGTAAGACACTAATTGTTGAGGTCTGTGCGTTGTCATGCCAGAAAGCAACACCCTTTCACTCTGGGCCACATCCACCCCAGGGAACAAGGTGACGCTGTGCAAACAGCTGGGAGCCAAGGGCTGGGCTGGGATCATTCAGTCTTTTAATGCAAATCCCTTTTTCTCTTCAATATTGTCTGTATCAAACCTTCTTTTAATAGCAGGGAATGAATAGCCAGAATGTTCATGGCCTTCCCCTCCCTTGATACCAAATTTGTTTTTTTGGCCAGGCCATATGGCATTTGGGATCTTAGTTCCCCAATCAGGGATCGAAACCACACCCTCTGCATTGTGAGTGCAGAGTCTTAACCACTGGACATCCAGGGAAGTTCCCATTCCAAAGATTTTGATCAAATATAAACATTGGTTGTACAGCCAAGGCTTTAAAAGACAGAAGGCTACTTGGTATCCCAAAGTTTATGATTTAACAAAAGCCTGTGAAATCACCTCAACTCAGATATTTTAAAATTTATTTGATTTTTCTACTTCCTTAGTTAACTTGTCACTACATGAGCTGTGCTTATAGGCAGAATGTGTTGGAGGTGAAGATATTTTTCAGCATACCAAGTTTAGCTTTCTGAGGTGTGAGGCATTATTGAATTTCCAAACGCACCAGGAACATATGTTTCTTGGAAAGCACCTTACCGGAACCCAGTATTAATAGCACAAAATGAGAAATACAGTTATGGACAAATTTGGCAGAAAACAAATGTGACATTAAAAATGGACCAAAAGTTAAAGCAAGATGAGAAAGTACCCATAGGCAGCAGGCACGTGTGTGATCAGCAGATCCGACATTGAGGGGCAACTTAGCAGAAATAGTAAATACAGTAGAAAGAGCACTTAATTTGGATAAATCTGTGGAATTTTCAATTAATTTATTTTTGGCTGGGCTGGGTCTTCGTTGCTGCATGCAGGCTGCCTCTGGTGGCGGTGAGTGGGGCACAGGCTCCGGAGCAGAGGCACAGTCATTGTGTCTCTCGGGCCCAGTTTCTCGAGGCATGGGGGATCTTCCCGGACCAGGGGTCGAACCCGTGTCCCCGGCACTGGCAAGAGAATTCTTAATCACTGGACCACCAGAGAAATCCACAAGTGGGATTTAATCCCTCAGTTTCATCATCTCTAAAAAGGGAGTGATAGTACCTAACTTGCAGAGTAGGATTAAAGCTAGTATATATAAAACACACATCTGGCACAGTTTAAAAAAGTTGCCTAATGCTCTCTTTTTGAATTAGGGTTTATAGACTAAGAAGGTCCATACTTGGGACTTGCCTCGCGGCCCACTGGTTGGGATTCAGCACTTCCAGTGCAGGGGCTCGGGTTCGATCTCTGGTTGGGAAGCTCCCAAATGCCACATGGTGTGGTCAATGAAATAAAGATGCAAACAAATTTTAAAAAAAGATCTAAACTGGGAAGATGCTAAAGCCAGTGTACTCCATTCTGTTCAATGCAGTAGCTATTTCTTAACACTTACTATGGGCCTCTAGTCTAGTGATAAAAACAGAAATAAGAGGGCTTACGTTTCCATCTTGGAATACCACAATAGGCAAAAAGACAGAAGAAAGGACATCTCATCTGAGAGGGATGGGTCCAAGGTAGAGGCTTCATAAGAGTCTCTTGATACTTCTGGAATAGATTTTTGGTGGGCAAAGTTTAGAACCACTAATGAATTCTAAACCTCCAAGATCTTTCAAGGCTTATTATCTCTTGAACAATGCCAATGACTGACTTCATAGCCTCATGTCCTGTAGGTTGCATGTGGAATGAGTCAGAAGGAGGTGAGAATGTTCCAGTGGATGCAGCCCCAGATGACCGGCTGGACGTTTCCAATGCTGTAGAACACAGAGGGGAGGGGATGGGGGAAATACTTAGGAGGAGGTGGAATGACCTCGGTTGTCAACTTGACCTTGGGGAAACGGTAGCCTTTGNCAGATGACCGGCTGGACGTTTCCAATGCTGTAGAACACAGAGGGGAGGGGATGGGGGAAATACTTAGGAGGAGGTGGAATGACCTCGGTTGTCAACTTGACCTTGGGGAAACGGTAGCCTTTGGCTTTATTTACCTAATTAAAGGCAGTTCTACAACCAAGTAGGTAGAACTGTGCTTCCCTAAAGATACGTTTAAACTCTAATCCCCAGCACCTGTGAATGAGGCCGTACAGGAAGCAGGGCCTTTGCAGATGTGAACACGTTCAGATGAGTTTGTGCTGGATTCGGGTGAGCCTTAAAGCAATGGCAAGTGTCTGTGTGTGGCACACGGAAGACACGGGGAAGAACGCGGTGTGAAGATGGGGGCCGAGGTTAGGGTGATGTCTCTGCAAGCCAAGGACTGCTGCCAAGGGGGCTGGGAGAGAGGCAGGGGACGGATTTCCCTGAGAGTCTCCAGAAAGAAGCAATTCTGCCAACACCTTGGTTTTGGACTTCTGGCCTCCAGAACCGTGGGAAAATCCACTTTTTTGCTATCTGAGTCACCTGGTTTGTAGCAATTTGTTATGGCAGGCCCAGTAAACTGATCATACCACTTAATGAATATAGATCTCTATCTGAATCAATATCAATATCCACATCTCTATGTATATACCATGAGGATAATGACCTTAGTTTTCCAGTTTTTAATGACACAATGACTAATGGTGTATGGTTGTATCTTGGGTGTTTCAAAGGAGAACTGTTTACCTACTGTGCCCTGATGATCGTTTTTCTCTCCCTCTTGTTTTGTTTTCTTGTTTGTTTCAGAGTGTCATCAGATTCACAATGGACTCTCTCATCGCAGCAAACACCAAGTTTTGCTTTGATCTGTTCCAAAAGATCAGCAGAGATGATTGTCGGAAGAACATCTTCTTCTGCCCGCTGAGCCTCTCTGCCGCGCTTGGCATGGTCCGTCTGGGGGCCAGGAGCGGCAGCGCGCGCCAGATTGACCAGGTGCGGATGGCGCGCGGCGTCCGGGCGCAGAGTCGGGCCCTGATCCTTTGGCAAACCTGACTGTTCCCTGCGCCCTGGGCTTGCTGGGAACTGTGTCTGCCCCGAGATTCATTTATGGGGCACACCCTGCTTTCTCTTCAACCCAACCCTACTTCCAGGCTCAGGGGCGCCTCTGGCTTCCTGAGGACGACTCCTCCATCTCACCAACCTGATGGCCGTTCTCACCACCTCCTGTCTCTGTCTGTCTGCATGCGTGCTCAGCTGCTTCACTTGTGTCCAACTCTTTGCAACCTTATTGACTGGAGCTGCCAGGGATTTCCCAGGCAAGAATACTGGAGTGGGCTGCATTCCCTTCTCCAAGGGATCTTCCCGACCCAGGGATTGAACCCGCATCTCTTCTGTCTCCTGCATTGTAGGCAGATCTTTACCGACTGAGCCACCAGGGAAGCCCTTGTCTGTCTACATGTCTGGTGCTTTTTCTCTATATAATTATTGACACCAGTATTGCCAGTATTTTTTAATATGTGCACGTGTTTTCTCTCTCACTCATTCCATTAAATAAAAGTGTATTAAGCACAGTTATGTATCCAGTGGGGAAAGATTCTGGTGTCCTCCTTGCCTTTCTCTCTCACTCCACATCAAGTTTGTCAGAAAGGACTGTTGTCTTTTCTTCTGAAATATATCTAAGGTTTTCGCACTCCCCACCACCTCCCTGAAGCCTGCCCCTGACAACTGGATCCAGATTCCTCACAAGTGGCCTTGCTTCCACTGTCACTGTTCTGAACCCAGGTGCCAGAAAGAGTCTTTAAAACCAAAGTCAGATCCTGTTTCCCGTTGGCTCAACACCTGGACCTCCACTTCCCCAATGACAGAAGCCCAAGCTCTTTCAATGGCCTGTGAGGGTTTGGGGGTCCAGGTTCTGGGCAACCTGGTGACCCTCTCCCTCCCCTCCCCTCTCTCTGGCCATACTGACCTCCCACCCCTTCCTGGGGAAATCCAGCCCCACTCCTGCTGTAGGGCCTTTGCTCCATCCCATTCCCCTAGGTGACTGGTCTAGAATTTAATCTGCACCTCAGGACTGTGATCAGAGTTAACCTTCTCAAAGAGACTGACTTTGATTTCTCCATCTGCAGCTGTGTGTGTTTGCGTGTGTGTTATTTGCTAGGTCCTGTCCAACTCTTTGTGACCCCACGGACTATAGCCCTCCAGTCTCCTCTGTCCATGGGACTCTCCAGGCAAGAGAATACTGGAGTGGGTAGCCGCTCCTTTCTCCGGAGGAACTTCCTGACGCAGGGATTGAACCTGGGTCTCCCACACGCAGGCAGATTCTTCACTGTCTGAGCCCCCAGGGAAGCCCCTTAGGCTGCATCCTGGCCCCCAACACTGAGATTCCCACTTGTCCCAGCTGCTTTCCCCCACATGGCATTTTCCATCTTCTGACATGCCACCTAGAGAAATTCATTACTATTTCATCCCTCTCCCACTAGAATGTAACCTCCCAGAGGGCAGGGCTCTGTCCTAGAGCAGCAACCCAATGCAAATGTGCAGAAGGAATGAATGACACTGACAAGAGCAACTCCTCCCAGTAAACCACAGGCTCCAGAGGCCGGCCTGACAATTCCCTGATCTAGTCCAGAGTGCAGAGGTTAAGTATGAACACAGCTGTGTCCCTGAGATGGAAGAGTGAATTACTGGATTGAGGCAGCAGGTGTCTAGGGTCATTCTACTTTATTCATGGACTTTGATTTGGTGTATTACTCCACCTCAGGTGGTGCAGGGTAAAGAACCTGTCTGCCAATGCAGGAAATGCAGGAGATGCAGGTCCAATCTTCTTCAGAAGACCCTCTGGAGAAGGGGATGGTAACCCACTCCAGTGTTCTTGCTTGTAAAATCCCATGGGCAGAGAGGCCTGGCAGGCTACAGTCCATGGGATCACAAACAGGTGGACATGACTTAGTGTGCCCGCACACACACACACCCCTTATTCCGTTAGCCACATTCGGCTAAAGTGCAATCGGCATCCTCCAGGCCAGGTTTCAGAAGCTCCTTCCTCAGGCTCTTGGGTGTCACAGCAGACTTACCTTGACGATGCCAGATGCCTCCCTTGTCTCCCATCTTTCTGCAAAGCTCTGGATAACTTATCTTCTGCTCTACTGATTTGAAGCTCTAGGTCAGCACAGTCTAACACAAATATAATTTAAGTCACATATGTAATTAAAAACTTTTTAGTAGCCATGCTAAGAAAGTATAAAAATAGATGAGACTAATTTTAATAATATATATTATTTAACCCAATACCTTGAAAATATTATATCAACATGCAATCAGTTAAAACATTTAAATAAAATATTTTATATTCTTTTTTTTTCATACTAAGTCTTCAAAATCTGATGTGTATTTTACACTTCTAGTCAATTCAGGCCATCTCATAGCCAAGTGTGATTTGTGGATGCCTTGATATTCTTTTAGCTTGGCTACATTCTTTCTTAAATGCAGTCCCAGGGGCATAGCATTCTGTTTACTTCCCATCCTTCCACTTCACAGCCTGAGTCAAAAGAAACACGTAACTTTTTTTTCTTTTACTTTATTTTTAATTAGAGGATAATTGCTTTGCAATATTATGTTGGTTTCTGCCAAACATCAACATGAATCAGCCACAGGTATCCATACATTGTCCCCTTCCTCTTGAACCTCCCTCCCATCTCCACCCCATCACCCCTCTCGGCTGTCACAGAGCCCCGGGTTGAGCTCCCTGCATCAGACAGCAAATTCTCACTGGCTGCCTAGTTTACATGTGGTAACATAACACGTGCCTCCACGCTGCTCTCTGAGTTCATCCCACCCTCTCCTTCCCCAGCTGCCGCCTTTCTTTAAACCGTTGTTTAACCGCTGATGATTATTTTGTTTAACTCTACAAACCTTATCCTCGCCACGTTATTAAAAACGTTTCTGAAGCTGCTCAGACTTCCTGCTGTTTGTGCGCTCTCAAAGATCCCATCTCCACTCTCACACAGGTACTGCACTTCAACGAATTGTCCCAGAATAAAGGGAACGAGCCAGATCCCTGTCTGAAAAAAGCAGAGCAGGAAGTGCCTGCCCACAGCAGCCTGGAAGGGCAGAAGGAAGTGGCGGGGTCCCTGACGCTGCAGGTGGGCCACCACGAGCTCTGCCCCTCCGTCCACAGCGCCCCTCCGGGCTGTCCTGTGTGAGGCCGCGGTCGTTCCTCCTCCGCCAGAGCCTGGCAGACCGCAGCCCCACAGCCACAGCAGTGATCCCAGCGACCCAGTTCCTCTCCGGTCACGCGTCTTATGTGTCCTTGGCTGTAAAGAGTAGGATCTAGAATCTTCTGCTTACGATAAAGAAGCTCAGACCGCAGTCCCAGGACTCACCTCGGTGTACAGGCCCCGGTTCCCCAGGATGGAGCAAGGGTGAGGAGGATGGGGTCGGGGAAGTAGCTCCCCACGACTCTCTCTCCACTTCTGCCGCTCTGTTTCCTGCTGGAATCGGTACTGACATCGAAGGTTTTCATGGGTTGTCTTATACCAGGAACAGTAAAGATATTCTCTAGTTTGTATATCCTCCTACGTTAGGACGTTTAAGATTCTTTCTTGACTCTTTTTGAAAACAGAGAAAAACAAGGCACACTCACCTAAAATGCAGTGTGCACTGCGGAGTCTCTATTTACATATTTCCCCCCCCCCCCCATCTTGATCCCACGTAGGAGCCAGGACACGGACCACGCCCTCCCTCCGTCCCTTGCTTCTTCTCCGCTTGCTCCCCCAACCGGTTACAAAGTGAAATGACTGCTTGCTTTAGGAGGCTTTAACGCGTTTTCAAGATCACCTTTTATTTCTTCTCTTGTTAGACCGAGTCTTCAAAGGATGAGAGTGGACTGCTCAGCTGCTATTTCGGGCAGCTTCTCTCCAAATTAGCCAGGATCAAAGTCGATTACACCCTGAGTATTGCCAACAGGCTTTATGCGGAGCGAGAATTCCCAATCTGCCCGGTGAGTTAGGCGTGACTGCTGATTAAGACCACCCTTTGACTTACTATTTCAAAACCATCAAGGAGCTGGATTTCTCACCTGTCTAGAGCACAAACCTCTGGCAGGAGGAGGTGACGGTGGGATGTCCAGGACCTGTTTCGTTCTCTCCCACACCTTCTGTCGCCCTCCTCCCAGTTTTCGACTTGCACACTTTAGGAGGTCCCCTGATGGATGGGAGTGCGGGGAAGGGGAGGGTCACGTGACTAAGAGCCTCTGCAGGCCTGGAGCTCGTGTGGGTTTGGTAACGGCGTTCTCTCCTGTGACCTTGGCGGTCTTTCCCATTCACCGTGCCCGGTAGAGGCACTGGTGGCTCCTCTCCCAGCTGGTCCTTCCCTCCCCGCTCAAGGCACTTCTCTAAAACCGCTTTTTATGCCGCGATCAGGCCACCTGCCTATGAAATTGTACTCATTTAAGATGCGGTGCAGTGTCGCCGAAGGAGGCTGACTGCAGCCAAAAGGCGCAAGTCCTGTCTCTGCGGCTAAAGGCTCTGGAACTAGAGAAAGACGCAGCTGAATCCGGGCTTCAGTTTCCTCCCTCGCCACTAGAGAGAGCTAGTGAGCCGCAGTGAGCGTGAGTGGGCGTGACCAAAGCCCAGGCGGGACACGAGTGTCAGGGGCGTGTTTAAGGGAGTTCGCGCACTTGGACCAGAATTAGTATGTTCTCTTATGATGGAGATGAGATTCTATGTTATTTTTTCCCAAACTAGCTTTATTGAAATATAAATTCATATAACATACAACTCACTTTTTAAAAATGTTCACAGCAGTGATTTAGATATATTACATTACAAAATTCTTTAAAATTGTGGTAAAATATCTAGAGCATAAAAATTGCTACTTTAACCATTACTAAGTATGCGATTCAGTGGCATTAGTTGTATTCAGTATTGTGTAGTGATTACCCTATTTCTAAAATGCTTTCATTACTGTGAATAGAAACTGTACAGTACCATTAAGCTGGGTTCTAATTCTAAAAAACTTAAAGCATTTTACAACAAAGGCTCTAAAATTACTTGCTATTTGCCCTGTGCTATGCTGTGCTTAGTCGCTCAGTTGTATCCAACTCTTTGTGATCCCATGGACTGTAACCTGCCAGCCTCCTCTGGCCCCAGGGATTCTCCAGGCAAGAATACTGGAGTGGGTTGCCATGTCCTCCTCCAGGAGACCTTCCCAACTCATGAATTGAACTGGGGTCTCCTGTTCTGCGGGCAGATTCTTTACCAGCTGAGCTGAGAGTCTCTACAAATGGAATGTCCAAATCTGGTGGGAAAGCTAGTGTCATTTTAACAGTGGACAACTCCACAGATAAGAATTCTATACCCTCAATTAACACTACAGGCAATGAAATGTCTCTGTGTAGTTAAGGCTGGGGGTAGATAGAGACCCCATGCACTCAGTATAAATGACGAGACACTTCCTTCTGATTAGGCTTCTCACGACTGCTTCACTCCTAAACTGTTAGCATAATTGTATGACTTTATGTCACTATTTCCATTTATCCCAATTTGTCAGGAATACTTAGATGGCGTGATTCAATTTTACCACACGACAGTTGAAAGTGTTGATTTTCGGAAAGACACTGAAAAATCCAGGCAAGAGATTAACTTCTGGGTTGAATCTCAATCCCAAGGTAAGAAAGACCCAACACATTGGAGGTGGTGCTCTTTTCCATTTAAAAGAAAAAAGTCAGCTCCGCTTTGTAGGAGCCTGGCGGGCTACAGTCCATGGGGTCACAAGAGCTGGACATGACTTAACCACTAAACCACCACCAATTTTCTTGGATTACTTCCTGGATGAGACATACTTCAGTCTTGGGAATACTAAACTGCATGGAAAAAATCTGTCTACTTGGATACTTTTGCTACAATTCATATTTAGGATATTCTCTGGAAACTTTTTTTAAGGTAAAATCAAGGAACTCTTCGGCACGGACAGTATCGACAGTGAGACTGTACTGGTGCTGGTGAACGCTGTCTACTTCAAGGCCAAATGGGAGAAATATTTTGACTGCGAAAGCACGGTTGATGCCGTTTTTTCTCTAAGTGAGGTACCAGAGCACAGTTTTCTAGATATTCACTCACAATTTCCACTGAATGATGGGCAGTATGTATATTCACATCTCAACTTAGGTCTCTGGGTTACGACTTACGTTTACAAGAACATTTGGTTATTAATAAAAGTTAGTGCCTAAAGACTATGAAGCATTTTTGTGCTAGGTGCTTCACTGAGCATTTTCCCTTCATTATTTCATTTCTTCCCCAAAATAACATTATGGAAATAGGTGTTATTATTAGTCCTACTTAGGAGTCCAGGGGGAAAAAATGCAAAGGTTACTCAGCCAAATTCATGCATTAAGATTTACATGTATGAGCATTTGCCTCAGAAACCTGTGTTCCTTATTTCAAAAGAGCAAATATTATTATCAATATTATATATATTGTATTGTGTATATTATATATGACTTATAGCTGTGTATGAGTATTATATATGCATAGAAAGAGGCCCAGTAGGGAACATACATTTATCTGTCAGCATAGGTAACACCAGGAGAGGGAGATGGTGTTGACATTTGCTTATTTTCCTGTGTTTTCTAACTCTCTGCACAAGTACTGCTTCCAAAATAATAAATGGTGCTTGAAAAAGGCGTGTTCTGAGCCAGCAAGCTGCAGAATGGGAACAGCCGTGCGGTTCTCTCCAGCGCGCCTCGCGCTCCTCTGTCGGCTGGTGGCCTGCCGCGTCCTGTGAGGCTATCATGAGGCTTACGGCGCCCTTTCCTCTGGCAGAAGCCCGTGCGGCAGGAGTTGTTATTTAGCACCCAGAAGCTTAGCATTTAACCAGGTTTCCCACTGATGCTTCTGTGGGCCCGTCCAGGCCGGTAGGGATGGAGTGTCATGGAAGGCCAGAGCCTGGGTGGAGCAGGCATGGAAGAGGGAGCTGGCAGGGCCGGCTTCAGCTGGCGAGGCTGTGGGTAGATGCCTGGATGGACAGCCTACTGACAAGGGGTCTTAGGACCTGAAGAACCTACCAAAACCATGGAAAGATGGGGTGTTGACAAAGTAAGGGCCCCCTGGTCAGTGGGCAGAAGGCTTCGTTAGACTGGATCCCTGTGGCTCTGAACTTTCGGGGGAAGCCCCTTCTCATCTGGGTGGACCATGTTGTCAGGGAAGTTGGGGACTGTATAGGTTTGTGAACTTCTTGTGGCCATGCTGTGACTTTCTACCGTGTCCACCTCAGAGTGAAAAGCAGAACGTGAAGATGATGAACCAGAGCGGGCTGTTCAGAATTGGCTTCGTGGATGAGCTGAAGGCGCAGATCTTGGAGCTTCCGTACACGAAGGGGAAGCTCGACATGGTCGTGCTGCTGCCGTCTGGCTCCGCAGACAACCTGAAGGCCCTGGAAGAGGTAAGTCTTCACTTGCATATCTCTGCAGCTGCAGTCCACGGGGTTGCAAAGAGTCGGACACAACTGAGCAACAATGACAACGTATTTTGGGGCTCCCCTTGTGGCTCAGATGGTAGAGAATCCGCCTGCAATGTGGGAGACCCTGGTTCGATTTCTAGGTAGAGAAGATACCCTGGAGAAGGGAATGGCAACCCACTCCAGTACTCTTGCCTGGAGAATCCCATGGACAGAGGATCCTGGCGGGCTATAGTCCATGTCGCAAGGAATCGGAGCGACTCACACACACACACACAAACACACACTATATTGCATCATATTATCTTGAGGAAGGATGGTATCTGGGCTATCAGAGAATCAGAGAATACATACGAATCTGAACTCATGAGACATTTATTTCTCATTTGCTGAGAACTAAAGAACAAATTACTGGAAGAAATATCAATAACCTCAGATATGCAGATGACACCACCCTTATGGCAAAGAGTGAAGAGGAACTAAAAAGCCTCTTGATGAAAGTGAAAGAGGAGAGTGAAAAAGTTGGCTTAAAGCTCAACATTCAGAAAACTAAGATCATGGCATCTGGTCCCATCACCTCATGGGAAATAGATGGGGAGACAGTGGAAACAGTGTCAGACTTTATTTTTTTGGGCTCCAAAATCACTGCAGATGGTGACTGCAGCCATGAAATTAAAAGACGCTTACTCCTTGGAAGGAAAGTTATGACCAACCTAGATAGCATATTAAAAAGCAGAGACATTACTTTGCCAACAAAGGTCCGTCTGGTCAAGGCTATGGTTTTTCCAGTGGTCATGTATGGATGTGAGAGTTGGTCTGTGAAGAAAGCTGAGCACCGAAGATTTGATGCTTTTGAACTATGGTGTTGGAGAAGACTCTTGAGAGTCCTTTGGGCTGCAAGGAGATCCAGTCAGTCCATCCTAAAGGAGATGAGTCCTGGGTGTTCATTGGAAGGACTGATGTTGAAGCTGAAACTCCAATACTTTGGCCACCTCATGTGAAGCGTTGACTCACTGGAAAAGACCCTGATGCTGGGAGGGATTGGGGGCAGGAGGAGAAAGGGATGACAGAGGATGAGATGGCTGGATGGCATCACTGACTCAATGGGCATGAGTTTGAGTAAACTTTGGGAGCTGGTGATGGACAGGGAGGCCTGGCGTGCTACGATTCATGGGGTTGCAAAAAGTCGGACACGACTGAACGACTGAACTGAACTGAAAGAACAAATGCCAAAAATATTAGATAGGACTTTCTTTGCTCATCTCATGGTTCTCTGCAGTTATTTTTCCAGACCAAGGGATCTGGAAGCCGAGGAACTTGATAATTGCAACAAATGAAATAACTTTTCCTTTTTCCTGAATATCCTGATGTCTGGCCTCTTCTCACACTCTTTTGCTGTTGCTCAGTTAGAGATTCTTTAGCTTAATCCTCTTTCTTGGTCTTCATGCTTTGACAGAAGTGGAGGTGCTGACGTTGAAGCAGATTACTTGTGAAGTAGGAATTAATAAAGGCTGGGGAATTAATAAAGGAATTAATGAAAGTTCAGCTTGGTGGGGTGGGAGTGGGGAAGAGAGAAAGTGAGACAGAAATATAGGGATATGGGAGAACAGGTGTGACAATGAGAATCATAACTATCATTCCAAGTTTATCACGTGCAAGGATTATGTGCAGGCTTCCCAGGTGGCGTTAGTGGTAAAGAGCCTTCCTGCCAATGCAGGAGACACAAGAGACATGGGCTCCATCCCTGGGTTGGGAAGATCCCCTGGAGGAGGAAATGACACTCCACTCCAGTGTTCTTGCCTGGAAAACTCTATGGACAGAGGAGCCTGGTGGGCCACAGTCCACGGGGCCACAGAGAGCCTGACCTGACAGAGCGACTAAGCAGAGCAGCGCCACGGGGAGCGCTTTGCAGACACCATGGTGCTCAGTCCTTGCAGAACTCCAGTGGTGGTGTCTGTCTTATAAAAGAGGAGACTGAGCTGCAAAACATCAAGGATTGGCCAAGCTCACCCGACCTAACCACATGAGCTTTCCTGGGCGTTGGACACTCACCTGTCGGACACCAGAGAACAGAGGAATCCACATTTTCTGGTGTCTGTTAAAGAGGAAAGAGATTTTCTTGGAGGACTTTAAATGAGATCAGAGGATTCTGAGGCAAAGACCTTGAGGATTGTTACCAGCGGTGGAAATAGTCTGAGGCCCCCCTTGGAAGTGTGTAGGGCATCCTTTGCAAGCTCTCATCTGACCTTGAACATGATTTTCTTCTTCTTGTAGCTTGAAAGGAATATCACCTATGAAAAACTCATGGCCTGGAGCAGTTCAGAAAATATGTCAGAAAAAAGAGTAGCCGTCTCCTTCCCTCGGTTCACCCTGGAAGACAGCTATGATCTCAACCCTATTCTACAAGACATGGGCATCACGGATATCTTCGATGAAACAAAGGCTGACCTTACAGGAATCTCTCCAAGTCCCAGTTTGTACGTGTCAAAAGTTGTCCATAAAACCTTTGTGGAGGTGGATGAAAATGGCACCCAGGCAGCTGCAGCCAGTGGGGCTGTCGGGATGGAGAGGTCTTCACCATCCTGGGAGACATTTAATGCTAACCGCCCTTTTCTCTTTTTCATCAGACACAACAAAACCCAAACCATTCTCTTCTGTGGCAGGGTCTGCTCTCCTTGAAAGGGGAACACGGTCTGGTGCTTGGAGCTGGGAGAAAGCGATGATAAGATTCACCCCTGGTATCACACGGGCATTTGCGTTTTCGCTAACATCCAAAGCTGACTGAATTTCATTGCGACTCCACGCTCCTCACCTCCGGCTGTTGGTCCTCACTTCTCCTGACCTTTCTCTCACCCTGTCGCAGGTTCTCATCTAAGTCTTTTAGAACTAAAAGGTCCTTGCTCCCTCCCCAAACTTTCACCACCCGAAGCTTTCAAGCATATAAATTTACCTGCTGTGACCTGAAGGTCAACATAATTGAGGATGATGTAGATTCTAAGTTACTGACCTGCTTATAAAGGAATCCTCAAAGTTCAGGTCATTAGTCCGCTCCTAGGAACTGGCAGATTCAGGAAACACTTTTCCATGTGTGCAGAGAAAAGGTTTCCGTGGGATCTGTTTTGGAAACAGCCGAGTTCCTGCTGCAGCTGCGATCCTGGTGCCGGGGTGGGGGTGCCCCTCCTCTTCCGGTCTGTCTTCTGCTGCAAGGAGGGTGTCCGGTGGGGGTGGGCTCGGCGACGGCTCGGCCGCGTGCCTTTTGCAGAGGGCAGGATGGTATTTGTTTTGTGAATCTGACATGAACTTAGGAGAGGAGGCAGCATCGTCCCAGCTTTCCTTAGAGAGCCGTCTCCATGAGGCGCTTCCTCTGTCTCTTCTCCACACCTGTCCTCAGAGGAGGCTCCTCCATAGTTGCTCCTAAGGCTTGCCTGGTGGCTCAGACGGCAAAGAACCCGCCTGACAATGCAGGGGCCCTGGGTTGGATCTCTGGGTTGGGAAGGTCTCCTGGAGGAGGAAATGGCAAGCCACTCCAGTATTCTCGCCTGGAGAATCCCATGGACAGAGGAGCCTGGAGGCTGCAGTCCACGGGGTCGCAGAGTCGGGCACGACTGAGCGACTGAACCACACTGGGCACACACGTGGCTGCTCCTAGCCGCTCAGCACGCTGGGGGCGGAGGGCGGTGCTGCCCTCGCTGCGGCCTCCCATCCCCTCTCTCCATCCTCTGCCGCGTGGACCTATCTGTCCTCCCAGAGGCCTCCTAAGAGCCCGCCGGGGCCTGGGCACGATGCTCGTGGAACCCCTCCCCATCAACTGAAAGCCAGACACCAGAGCGGTCAAGACCCCAGGACCCAGGGCCTTTGTTCTCCGATGTGTCGATCTGAGTTCTTGATCTCTGCCTCAACGGCACGCTCTGGAATGACCACTGACCCGCTCTCCCGTGGAGGTGGACTTCCAGTCTGATGGTGGTCCGTTTTCCCTGCCCTGGGACTGCCCTCCTCCCAGCTGCCCTGGTGTTGGTGAAGTGTGGCTGTAGCAGTTTCTACAGGAGAAGGTGGATTAACTTCACCTGCTCTTACGCTGGTCCTTCCCCTAGTTCTGTCTGTGCTGGAAAAGACAAGTGCATGCTCTTTATACAGGCGTCTCATGGCTGAAACGTGCTCATAGCATGAAAAAGGTTCTCATTGGTGACAGGGGGCTGTTCTTCCAAGTCCTTTACCTAGAACGCATGTCTCACACCAGTTTTATCGCCGAGAGTCAAAGCAGCCTCTCCTGTGCTTCCTTTCTGAGGGCAGGGTTTCCAGGGCCGATTCCATACTAAGCTGGCAGCACAGCTAGACCTGACCATGACCTGTGTTATGGGTCGGGCACTGTCTGGTGTTGCTTCTGTTCTTATTCTTTTCCTTGACATGCATATTTTCTCATTTGCATTGGGGTTTTTCAGAATTTTAATCATGAGGGGAAAATGAATCTATTTACAATAAAGAGAAGACTGTGATTCTTAAATCTGTAAGTCAGTAAACACCATCTTTACTGACCTTTCATTGATCAAAATGTTTCCTAGTGAATAAAGCATTTTTGTCATAAAATATGTATGATGTGTTACCAACTGACTTTTTTTTAGTGACATAAATACTTTCAAGCTCTTCATCTAAAAATACAGTAATACATACCCTATAAAGCTAACAATTCTTCTCAGTTATTTAGGAATAATACATCTTGTGCCAGTAATAATTTTTTTCCCAGCTTTCCACCCTAAATACATGTAAAGACATATAAAAAAAGATGAAAACTCACAGTAATTCTAAAATCTAAGAATGATGGCCAATGGAGCATCAGAATAAGGAAGACACCTCTGCTGATTGCAAATTGATGTGGCCGGGTGGGAAGGCATGTTTGAGAGGGGACCTGATGAGGCGCCTGTGTGTCAACCTGCCTTATTTTCTTCCCACAACTGCCATCCCCTGAGTTCAGAAACACAAGATAGCAGCCAATCCAAACCCAGGCACCCATCTCACTACGTTATTTGTTGCTGTCTCCCGGCCGGTGTCTGTGAGGGCTGGACATGTGCACACCGCTGTGTTTAAAATGGATCGCTGACGAGGACCTATTGCAGAGCCCAGGGAGCTCTGCTCGGCGTGACGTGGCAGCCTGGGTGGGAGGGGAGTTTGGGGGAGAATGGATACTCGTATATGTATGGCTGGGGCCCCTTGCTTTTCACCTGAAATTGTCACAACATTGTTAATCTGCTATACCCCAATACAAAATAAAAAGTTAAAACATCTGTTTTCTTTCTGAAACCACTGAAAGACTGGATGAAACTCCCCGAGTTTGACTCAGAGGAGGGCGAGGACAGGCAGCGTGCTTTGCAGTCTAGGCAGATTAGTCATTACAAGTGAAGTCCTTCCAGGGGAACAAAACCAGAAAGAGCCCTGGTGGAGATGTTCTTGGGTTTGTATGGTAGCTCTCTGCTTTGCGTGTCAGAGAGTCAGGCCATCCAGAGAGGAGAGAGAACCACAGAACCACTGTCCTGTAACTGGTGACAGGGAAAGGAAGTTGAGTGGTTGTCTCTGTGGATTTCTTTGCTCCCAGGTTGAATGCCAGCTTCAAAGTTGTTCTTTCTTCACATTACTAACGTTGTATTCTTGCTTTCCCAAATCTACTGTCTCATTCTTTTCTTCTTACTCAATAAAAGCTCCACAAAATTTATCTGCATATTTGCATACCTCTTACCAATATATTCTCCGTATTTAATATCTAATTAAAAAATTCCTTTATTCTAATACACTATTTTGCTTATAAATAATGATATCCATATTAGTACATCAAACAATGTTTTAGCTACAAATGGGCAAAAAGGATTTAAGAAGCAACCAAATGCATGACAGTGGGCCCAATGGAAATCCACACAGGTTTTGTCAGTTGACACAGGTTCTGAGTAAACCAGCCCATGTCCAAGACTGAATACAGGGGAAAACCCTACAGGGTTATAGAAGAAAGTAGTGCCAAGTAAGGATGGGATACATCAAACTATTGAGACTTCAGAAAATTGTTTATTACAAGAGCCGGAAGAGGGGTGTAGACAACCTTTTGGCCTGAAGAGTCAGATTTAAGAAGGCATTGCATTTACGGAATTGGAGCTGAAACAGCTGCGACAAGATGTGAAAGAATGGGATGAAAAATAAGAAGACTACTCGGGAGCTAAAAATGTAATGTGTGTGTTAAATGTCTGACTCTTTGTGACCCCATAGACTGTAGCCCACCAGGCTCCTCTGTCCATGGGATTTCCCAGGTAAGAATACTGGAGTGGGTTGCCATTTCCTTCTCCAGGGAATCTTCCCAACCCAGGGATCGAACCCATGTTTCCTACAATGAGAAGCCCACACACTGCAACTAGAGAGTAGCTTCCGCTGGCCAAAACTAGACAAAGTCCATGAGCAGCAGTGAAGACCCAGCACAGTCAAAAACAAATAAATAAACCTTAAACGTCTGACTCTTTGCGACTCCACGGACTACAGCTCTCCAGGCACCCTGTCCTTCGCCATCTCCCAGAGTTTGCTCAAACCCATGTCCATCGAGCCAATGATGCCATCCAACCATCTCATTCTCTGTTGCCCCTTTCTCCTCCTGCTCTCAGTCTTTCCCGGCATCAGAATCTTTTCTAATACCAGGTTCCTGTCCACTGAATTCTCCAGGCAGGAATATGGGAGTGGGTTGCCATGCCCTTCTCTGTTCTGGCCTATCCTTTGCCAAAACCACATTTAACTATTTAATGACAAGTCTTGCCCTCTGATAGAACAGGTCTTAGATTCTTCTCCTTCAAGAGCATTTGGGCTATTCTTGGCCCTCTGCTATTCCATATAAATTTGGAATTGGCTGGTTAATTTTTTGAAAAATGAAACCTCTTGGGATTTTGATCAAGAGTATAATAATCAATTTTGGGAGAATTGACATTTTTACAGTATCAAGTCTTCCAAACCACAAAATATTTCCCTCTGTTTTCTTAAATCTTCTTAATGTTTCTATATGATGTTTGATATTTTTCTATTTACAGGTTTGCACATTTTTCAGTTTTAATAAATATGAGCTGCTTTTTTTGAGATGCTTTTTTGATAATCTTTTCAATTGTACATTTAAGAAATTTTCAATTTCTAACTGTATGTTGCTAGTATATTAAAATATTTGATTTTTTAATATTGACTTCACATTCAGCAATTTGCTAAACTCACTTTTCAATTCTTACAATGTGTGTGTGGGTTCTTTTGTAAGTGATTCTGTTTTTTCATTTTGAGTCTTGAGACTTTAATGATTTAATTTATCAATTGTTTGTGCTTAAAGTTTCTTTAGTTCAGTTTTCAAATTTTTATTGTAGTATGGTTGATTCACAAGTTTGTGTTAGTTTCTGCTATATAGCAAAGTGCATCACTTGCACACACACATGTATCCACTCTTTTTTAGATCTTCTCCCATGTAGGTCATTAGAGTATTGAGTGGATTTCCCTGTGCTGTACAGCAGGTCCTATTAGAGTATATATGTATCTTACACACACACAGATGTATCTATTTATTTATGCTGTGTTGTTGTTCAGTTGCTAAGTCAAGTCCTGCTCTTCAGGACCCCATGGACTGCAGCATGCTAGGCTCCTCTGTCTCTCACCATCTCCAGGAGTCTGCTCAATCTCATGCCCATTGAGTTGGTGATGTTTTCCATGTTAATGGTGACGTATGTATGTCAGTCCCGACATCCCAATTTACCCTTCCTCCCCACCCCTTTCCTTCCTCGGTGACCATAAATTTGTTTTCTACATCTGTGACTCTTTTTCTGTTTTGTAAATAAGTTAATTAATACTATTTTTTTTTAAGATTTCACATATAAGTGGTATTATCTGCTTTGGTTCAGTTTTGAATGGAAGCAGTGATAGCAGATACACTTGTTTTTTGTTTGATCATAAATAGAATACTGTTTTTTCCCTCTCTCTCCATTTCTTTCTATGTATTAACTCCACTGAAGAACATGTAGTTTGAGTGTGATTCCTACTCAATCTGTAAAGATGCCAATGTCTGCTCCATTAATGTGCCAGTTCTGAGAAGTCCCCAGAGGATTCTTCACAGACCTTGATAAACTGATACAGAGTTTATCTAAAGGAGACTGTATACAAGATTTGCCAAGGAATTTGGGGGAAGCAAAAACAGTGAAAGAGCTTGGCTAGATAATTAAAACACGCTTGTCTTAGGTGAGCTGTCCTACAGGTAGAACCAAAGACAGAGATGCTTGTTCAGGTACTTTGTGGGGTGGAGGTGAGGAGAGTGGTCCTCAGAGAGAAACAGGGCAGGGTAAGGGGCAGGTTAACCCACCCTGAGGTCTCAACTGGAGGCCGGCTTCTGTGACCCCATGGGGCTCTGGAGGACGCGCTGCACTAGAAAACTGCCCTCATTCTGATGCAAGGGACCCATCTGTCCTTTTTACCCGTCGGCAGGTGAGTCACACCTGAGGTGTGGCCTGGCTGGGGGCAGGCTGCTGCCTAGCTTCCCAGGTAGGTGGAATGAGCTGGAAGTCATTTGACTGACAAAAGGGTGACTATGAATTATCAGGCAAAACAGCAGCTGGGTGACAGGAGCAGTGGTGGGTGAAGCAATCTGATCGGGACCCAAGGAACATCCATGCATTTTAATGAAGAAGAATAATCTTATAGGCAGTATCAGTAACAGACATGTGGAAGTTGTGCCAAAACTTGGCAGGGTGGGGAAACCATTAGTGCCCTGGTTTGGGCCTTAACTCTTTGCTCTCCTCGCTCCTAAGCATAGAGATCATTCTCCTATTTTCTAATCATCCATCTATTTCCTGCCTTTAGGATCATTTTGATACAGGATGGAAGAAACTGACAGAAGAATGGAATGGGCGCAGGGTCTAACGACTGGAGGTTGTGATGACATCGACAATTAGGTCTAGAGAAAACAATAATGAGATCTATAACCAAAGAGAGGAGGGCTTCCCTGGTGGCTCAGTGGTAAAGAATCCACCTGCAAAAGGAACCTGCAGGAGACTTGGGTTTGATACCTGGGTCAGGAAGATCCTCTGGAGGAGGTCAAGCCAACCCACTCTAGTATTCTTGCCAGGACAATCCCATGGACAGAGGAACCTGGCAGGCTACAGTCCATGGGATCGCAGAGTCAGACACAACTGAGAGTATTGAGCATGCACACACACACACACAACCAAAGCGAGGAACTGCAGAGTTCAGCAGCTTATAGCAGGAACAGTTCCTGGCGATGGTGGCACCCAAACCGTGACCCTGTGCATGAGCTACAAGCCGGAGGGAAGGTGAGGGTCTGGGGGCAGGGAGGCCGCTGACACGCATGTGAAGACGCGAGAGGGGTGGCGGCAGGCAGGGTGGACAGGAAGACATGTGACAAGGACCAAGGGGCTTCTGGAGGGGGAAGGGATGCCTCAGCAAGATGGGGGACATCTCTAGAGGACACCCTGAAGGTGACTGAAGGAAGAAAGGCTTGGGAGAAGCATAAGTAAGCAGAGAGGCAAGGAATGGGGACCTCACCTCCTGATTGCAAGATGAGAGTGGCTATCCCTAGGTGAAGACTTTCAACCCACTCTAGTATTCTTGCCAGGACAATCCCATGGACAGAGGAACCTGGCAGGCTACAGTCCATGGGATCGCAGAGTCAGACACAACTGAGAGTATTGAGCATGCGCACACACACACACAACCAAAGCGAGGAACTGCAGAGTTCAGCAGCTTATAGCAGGAACAGTTCCTGGCGATGGTGGCACCCAAACCGTGACCCTGTGCATGAGCTACAAGCCGGAGGGAAGGTGAGGGTCTGGGGGCAGGGAGGCCGCTGACACGCATGTGAAGACGCGAGAGGGGTGGCGGCAGGCAGGGTGGACAGGAAGACATGTGACAAGGACCAAGGGGCTTCTGGAGGGGGAAGGGATGCCTCAGCAAGATGGGGGACATCTCTAGAGGACACCCTGAAGGTGACTGAAGGAAGAAAGGCTTGGGAGAAGCATAAGTAAGCAGAGAGGCAAGGAATGGGGACCTCACCTCCTGATTGCAAGATGAGAGTGGCTATCCCTAGGTGAAGACTTCGTGGTCTGTAGTGGTCTTCGGGGGAAAGCTGGGTTTTCCTGTGAAAGTGAGGCAGTAGAGAAAACGCTTTAGGGGAAAGCAGAGGGGCTTATGGAGATAAGTGGGAAATAGAACAGAGAGTCCAGGGTCACAGAGAAAGGGATTAGGACATATCAACTGATGGGCACATTAAAACATAGAGCACTATGGCCAGCTCGAAGATTTCTTGTTATTTTGTTTACTTATTAAAATAATCATTTTATTTTTTTAGTGTTTTTTAAATTTATTTGGTTGCATTGAGCAAATTGTGAATATTGAGATTGGCACGTACATTTCTCAGCAGCTGCTTCACTAAGCTGCTTCTTTAGACGACAGTCAAGTGAGAGGGAAGAGCTGAGACGGCCTCCTAGGATTCGCTGCTGGCAACGGTGACAAACTTTCACACACTTTACCAAAGAGAATCATCTAAGGATCCAGCAGAGCTGGTAGGAATACCCTAGGGGTGGCAGGAAAGGCTGGAATTTGGAGGTATAATTTCCTAATGAGTTTTCAAAAATTGTGTTGTTTTCCTGAAATTAGTGAGCTTGTTGGATGTTCATGAATTATTGGCACTTATTCCAGCAGCTGGTTGGCCTAGTGGTAAATTCTGCCAGCCAATGCAGGAAACGCAGGAGACTTGGGTTTGATCCCTGGATCTCGAAGACCCCTGGAGAAGGAAATGGCCACCCATTCCAGTATCCTTGCCTGGGAAACCCCGGACAGAGGAGCCTGGCGGGCTACAGTCTATGGTGTTGCAAGAGAGTCGGACACGATTTAGTGACTAAGACAACAACAACCAGTGCCGGTGCATAGTAAACTCTCAACAAATGTTCAGTAAGTGGATTAAAATGAGACGTTTCATAATGAACGGGCAGAACCCTTGAGAACAAGAGTGGTGTCTGCGTGTTGCCTACTACAGTTTTTCTCACTACCTTTTCTCTTTCTTTTCTAGGAAGTTAGCTTTCTTACTTTTCTTCTTCCTTTGCATTTGGTAACCCCAAATAATGCAACTGCGCAGTTAGCTTGACTGTGGAGTCTGGTCTTGTCAGGACAGCACCCCGTACGTCTGTGGTTAGGAAGTGTGCTTTCATTCAGATGCTCTCCCTGGCTGTGAACCAGCGCTTCCTGACCTTGCTGCACATGGGATCACCTGAGGTGATAAAAATTCTGACGCCTGTTCCTGCCTTAAGGGTGCTGACTCAGTTGTCTGGTGGGGGGGTGGGCGGGGGCGCTTGGCCATAGAGTTTTCTTTTTAAGTTTCCCAGGAGATTTTGCTGTGCATCCAGAGTGGAAAACCAGTGGTCTGAGTGGTTCTTTTCAGAGGGTCCCCTATATCATTAGCGAGGAAGACCCTCTTATCACCATCTGCCCCCACCCCCAGCATGGGACGTAATTCATTTCTCTTGGTCATTCCAGTCCCTTTCATCCTGGGTTGCATTCCTGCTTTTAGTCTTATTTTGTCATCTGGTTAATTTACATCTCTTTATGCTTGGGCCCCTGAAGAATGTCTGAGAGCCTTTGGAGAAGTGAGAATTGAAACTCTGTTCCTCTATGTCGAGCTGTATACTATTCACAACACAGTTGCTGACAACTTCAAGTGCAGAACTTCGAGATCATGAAGGAAAGAAACAGAAAATTCAATCCTCAGTTTTGTTGTAACCCTTGCATGCTAATTTTATTAGGGAAATAGCCATTGAGAAACCAAAGCTTGTTTCACGGGAAATGCAAGCCATGACGACTAGGGAGAGGCAGAGAGAGCTATAAATTAAAGACTTCAGCTACTCATTTAGCACATGCTTCCTGGCTCCTTGCCCTGTCACCTCTGTCTTTCCAGAAACCAGGTAAGTTCCTTCTGCACCAACTCAAGATTTCTGTGTTATGAGAGCCCCCATGTTTGTTAGTTTGAAAGAAGTACTTTTTTGGGTACTAATCCCAAGTACCTAATTTGCCTTGGGATGGTTTTGTTTAATTCAGTGTTTACCCAGCTGTGACAATGTTATCTTGTCTGACAGTAAGTTAATTCATTTTATTTTTGAGTGAACCTGCAAGAAATCCTTGCAAGGAAACGTGGGAATGAGATGGAAGTTTAAACAGCAGATGTAAGGTGCGTTTGCAGGGATGGGCCCTTGAGAACAAAAATCCCTCAGAGTAGGCTTTTGATTGGCTTTAACCTCATTTTTGTTTTAAGATTTTTCTTTATTAACTAGTTGTAATTTGGCTGGTGAAAGTGAAAGCGTTAGTCGCTCAGTCGTGTCTGACTCTTTTCGACCCAATGGACTGTAGCCGGCCAGGCTCCTCTGTCCATGGGATTCTCCAGACAATAATACTGGAGTGGGTAGCCATTCCCTTCACCAGGGGGTCTTCCCAATCCAGTGATTGAACCCGGGTCTTTTGTATTGCAGGCAGATTTAGCTGGTGATGAAGAAAATACAAAACATGTTCTAGTTATTTTTGGTAAATGTTAATTGCTCTTTAAATTTAATTTTTGTGAGATAAACAAAATGTGAACTCACTGCATAAGCTTGAAATAATATAGAAAGCTATAAAAAAGGAAGCTCTTTTGCCCCCAGTTAATAATCCATGACCAGAGATACGTCACTGCCCTTTAAGGAACATTTAGCCCAGGGTCAGACTTGCATGCAGCTAGGGGCTGGGGTTTTGGAGCGCTCGTGTATCTGGCCAGTTTGTGCTGGATTTGAAGCAACTGAGAAAACAGAGTGTCAGAGAAGGCCACTGCGCTCTTGTCGAGGCTGGATCCGAGAACTCTGCTTGGACCTGAGGCCAACCCTTCCTACAGCCCCTGGCCTTGTTCTCGGCGGGACACGCCCGACATCGGAGGGCCAGGCTGGGCCAGCCCGGGAGAGGCGGCGGGCAGGCGGGTGCTGGGTGTGGGCGGTTCCGATAGAAGAAGAGAGAGCAGAGCCTCTCGGGGATTCACCCTGCTCCCTGGGACACAGAAGCCCAGAGGGCGCGGTGACGCCCCTCGATTCACGTCCCGTCAAGAGCAGGGCTGGGAAGTGGCCTTTCGCTGCGAGGGTGAAACTCCCTGCGTCCTGGCTCAGTGCCCGAAGAGGAGTGGGAGAGGGTGCCCTGACATGAAGCCTGTGGCCGAGTGGACCGTGCCCGCCGGGTTCTGATTGCTGTTGTTGCAGATCCTGCTGGAATCATCATGGATTCGCTGGCCCCAGCAAGTGCTTGGTTTGGGTTGGATCTTTTCAAAGACCTGAGTAAAACGGATGAAGGCAACGTCTTGTTTTCACCTGCGGGCATCTCAACCACCATCGGAATGCTGCCCCCGGTGGCCCCGGGGGCCACTGCCACCCGGCTGCAGGAGGTAGAGTGGGGCTTCCTCGCCACCCGGCTGCAGGAGGTAGAGTGGGGCTTCCTCGCTTTCCAGCCACCCGGCTGCAGGAGGTAGAGTGGGGCTTCCTCGCCACCCGGCTGCAGGAGGTAGAGTGGGGCTTCCTCGCTTTCCAGCCGCAGGAGGTAGAGTGGGGCTTCCTCGCCACCCGGCTGCAGGAGGTAGAGTGGGGCTTCCTCGCCACCCGGCTGCAGGAGGTAGAGTGGGGCTTCCTCGCTTTCCAGCCGCCGGCTTGTCTCTGGGGCCGTGCTCTGCCATTACCTCGAAAACCTGCCTCCCTTGATCTGGGGCCAGGAAACAGGGAGCATCTGAATGGAGCGATTNCTTCTGCACTCAGCTTTCTTTATAGTCCAACTCTCACATCCATACATGACTACTGGAAAAACCATAGCTTTAACTAGACAGACCTTTGTTGCCAAAGTAATATTTCTGCTTTTTAAAGGTTTGTCATAGCTTGCTCCTTTTCTTCCAAGGATCAAGCGTCTTTTAATTTCTTGGCTTCAGTCACCATCTGCAGTGATTTTGGAGCCCTTCCAAAATAAAGTCTGTCACTGTTTCCATTGTTTCCCCATCTATTTGCCATGAAGTGGCAAAGCCATTAAGCTCATAATTAAAGGTAGAGCAAGAAGGACAGAGTCTCCTGGGGGAAATGACATGATCCCCACTGTGGTGTAAATGACGCATCAAGGACGGATGAATGAAGGGACTAACCAGCAGAGGTGAGATCAGTGCGCAGCCCAGAACTTTTCATGATTTGCAGGGACAGGACTGTTTCCTGTGTAGCACAGAGGTCTGTTTAACAGATAGCCATTTTACCCTGACTGGACCCCTGTGAGCTTTTCTCTGCTCTCACCACTGCCATAGTACTTTTTTTTTGCAGGTGCCTTTCTCTGAAAAAGACACAGAAAGCTCAAGAATCAAAGAAGAAAAAGGGGTGGGGAGACAAGGGCTTCCCTGGTGGCTCACTGGTAAAGAACCCACCTGCCAGAGCAGGAGACGTGGGTTCGTCTCTGGGTCAGGAAGATCCCCTGGAGAAGGAAATGGCAACCCATTCCAGTATTCTTGCTTGGAGAATCCCGTGGACAGAAAAGCCTGGCGAGCTACAGTTCATGGGGTCGCAAAAGAGCGACTTAGCAACTAAACAACAAACAACAGGACATGTCTTATAGCGTCCAGTGATGACTTTGTAGATGTGGGTTCCCTGGGGAAACGTGTAGAAGATGTGATACTTATTGGTAAGCAATAGTAACAGCAGCAGCCAAATAATGTGGCTTATAGAGTACCATACAATAATAAACCCTAGTGTTGAGAGGAGACCTCAGCTTTAATGCTCACTAACCACTAGGATATATATCCATAAAGGCTAATAGACTGAACCATCCCTGTAGCGGAGGGAATGTGTAGCACACACGTGTGCTAAGTCACTTCAGTTGTGTCCAGCTCTTTGCGACCCCATGGACTGTCGCACACCAGCCTCCTCTGTCCATGGAATTCTCCAGGCAAGAATGCTGGAGTGGGATGCCAATTCCTTCTCCAGACGATCTTCCCGACCCAGGGGTCTAACACCTGTTTCCTATGTCTCCTGCATTGGCAGGCAAGTTCTTTACCATTAGCACCACCTGGGGAGCCCATTTTGGAGTTAAGAGTTCAAATCCTGGCTTCATCACTTAATAGCTGTGCCAGTTTGGGCAAGTTGCTCATCTTCTTTAAGCCCCTGTAACATGTCTAGTAGAGCAATTGGAACACACTGGTGACTTAGCCAAGTGGGCGCTGTGGTAGCAGCGGGTGATGTTATTACTGCAGACTTCCCTGGTGGCTGGATCAGGAAGATCCCCTGGAGAAGGGAATGGCAACCCACTTCAGTATTCCTGCCTGGAGAATTCCATGGACAGAGGAGCCTGGTGGGCTACAGTCCATGGGGTCGCAGAGTTAGACACGACTGAGTGACTAACACTTTTACCACATTCCATTTTTATTTTAAGGACCTTTTCCTACTCTGTTGATGTTTTATTTAAAAAAATATTAGCCCAGGACCAACGACTTCTTGAGATCTCGTCCAGCTCTAGGGTTATAGCATACGTCACTCACAGGACAGTCTGTACAAACATGGCAAAGAGTCCGTAGGTCAGGGCTGGCATTCAGAGATGAATAGAGCTGCCCGGGAGGTCACATCTGCCATGACCGATGTCACAGCCCTTTTCCCAGGCCCTCATAAAATCGTGGCTCAAGCCCCCCAGCAGTATGAGCCATTCGTTTCACGATCCCACGTGGCCAGGTTGTCTGCACCGCTCAGATGCATGCATGAGGAGTCAGGCTTCCTTCTGGAGCATGGATGGCGCAGTTGGGTCCGACAGCTGCTCCGCGGTCCGGTCAGTCCACCGGTGCTCATAACTGCTTTCAGGCACTTTTTCTCCCAAGCATGGCCCCATGCAGAGTCTCGGTGCAAACTAGAAAAAGATACACATTGGGTGACAGATGCCCACTCCTAGGTGAAAAGCTTTTAATCTTTCAGCATTGAGTGTGATGTTACTGGGCTTTTCACATATGGGATTCTGCCCATGGGGTTCTTCAGGCAAGAATATTGGAGTAGGCTGCCATGCCCTCCTCCAGTGAATCTTCCTGACCCAGGGACTGAACCTGAGTCTCTTTTGTCTCTTGTACTGGCAGGCATGCGCTTTACTGCTGAGCCAGCACAGAAGTGCAGTGATGACCTCACTGCTTTGCTAGCTTCTACTCAGGCGCTCCCCCTGGTGTCTGTTTGTAGTGCTGCAGACTAGGGTGTGTGTTGATGGCCTTTGTGCTCAGTGACCAGCCTGGTGCCTGTCCCTCTTGACACTTAGATTCAGGCAAGACAGAAACCAGTCTCTCAGGCAGCTTCTGAAAAGCCAGAGTGTTGGACGCACATTCCACTCTTGTTTCTCAGGGAGTTGGGGTTGAGAGTTTTCTCCCAATCACACCATGAGGTGCACGTCATGAGTTGCCCGGCTGGGCTTTGGTGCAGTCTCTTCCTGGGCTTCATGCTTCTCTGGGTGACAGGAAGCTCTGAGCTGGTTTCGGAGTTTCTTCCAAAGGCATCTGGTCTCTGGATTCTTGTTAAGTCGGTGTTCCCAGTGGGGGAAGAATGGCATCCAGAACCTACACCGAGCTCATGGACAACCCCCAAGGCTGCTGTGTCTTCTTGGTGTGGGAGGGTGGTGAATCTAGGTTTACTCGTGCCAAGATAACTCACTGAGTTTTTGTTTTGATTTTGAAGTTAGAGAAGACAGAAGAGGTACATCGCCAGTTCCAAAGGGTTTTGAGTGAGATAAGCAAACCCAATGATGATTATGAACTGAAAATAGCCAATCGGCTGTTTGGAGAAAAGACATACCTCTTCCTTCAAGTGAGTTTTGCTGAGTTCACAACATCTGTGACTGGTACTCAGGAATGGCCAAATGACTCTGTTAAGACTGGGATCCTGGAGGCAAGCTGCCTAATTTGAGTGCCTGACTCACCCCACATCCCTGGGGGTGTCCCTCCCACCCCTTCCTCTCACCGTCCACCACACCCCCTCCTGACCTGTCCTCCAGATACCCAGACCTTTTGGGAGCTTCTTTTTTCATCTTGACAATCTCATTTTTGCCTTAACCCTACTGAACCTGCACAAAAATATGCATGGAAGTACTCAAAGTAATTCACCCAGTCCCTAAAAAGATCTCTTCTTATAATGTTAGTCATCTTCATGTACAGATAAATTTATTTAGAAATGATGGCAATGGATAAATTGAATTTTAAAGCTATTTCTATTCCTTCCCTGTTTCTCCTAAAGAAATACTTAGATTATGTTGAAAAACATTACCATGCTTCTCTGGAACCTGTTGATTTTGTAAATGCCGCAGATGAAAGTCGAAAGAAGATTAATTCCTGGGTTGAAAGCCAAACAAATGGTAGTGTATGGATGAACCGCTCATCATAAACACACTTCTGAGTGCCTGCTGTGAGTGAAGCCCTGTGCTGGGCCCTGCAGAGGGCATAAGGGTGCACAAGCTTTGGGAGGGGCCGAGATGGGCACTTTAGGTCGGAGGGGCAGGACTGGAGCCGAGCATCCACTGTGGGAGCATCCACCGCACAGTGAAATGGGCTCAGCAGGCGTGGAGAGAGCCAAGGGAACTGGGCAGGGGACCACAGGAAGCCAACTCCGTGGAGACACGGAGTGGAGAATTATTTGTGCATAGCTGGGGATCACAGTGACTTTGGGGCTCCTGATACCTGGCTCATGTCTGTCGTGAGGTCACATTTGACTTTTATGTGAGCACCATAAGTAAAAATGTCAGAGGGCTCCTTTCTCTCGGTCAGTGAGAAGCATCAGCTCTCACCAAAGCCGCGCCTGGGCCTCCTGCAGGGATGGCGGCAGCCTTGAGCCTGGTCCAGGCAGGGACTCGACGAAGCCCCGCCTCCTCCGCCCCGCCCTCACGCCCTGGCAGGAACCAAACTCGCAGGAAAATACCAGAGAGAACGTTAGAGTTGGCAGAGCGGTGCTGACGCTTTAGTGTTGGCATTTCAGAATACATTTAAAAAAGATTTATTTATGGATTTGGCTGTATCAGGTCTTAGTTTTGGCTGGTGGAATCTTAACTTACCCGAGATCCCTCAGCCAATGAGAGGCAAAGCTGGGTACCAGCAGAGGCAGTCTGGCTCCAGAGCCTGAGCCCTTAGCCCTCACACCTCCGTTTATCCCGGGGGATAAACTGGCGATGTGCAGAGTGAGAACCGCCTATGATTTCTGCCAGCGAACTCTTTGTCGGCAAAGCCTTCAGGTGCTGACCTGGCTGAGTTTGAAATGATTGGTCAAGTCCATCTTCATTGTATCTGCCATGTGGAGCACTTGTAATTTTGAAGATGGACCCATTTTGTTCTTGTTGCTGTTCATTTGCAGAAAAAATAAAGGACCTGCTTCCAGACGGCTCTTTAAGCAGCTCCATCAAGCTGGTGGTGGTGAATGTAATTTATTTTAAAGGGCAATGGAACAGGGAGTTTAAGAAAGAAAATACCAAGGAGGAGGAATTTTGGCTGAATAAGGTATGTTCTTTAATTAATTTATGTGATATGCTTACAGATAAAATGTAGAATCTGAAGTCATATTTGAGCAAATGTACATGGTGTATGACTTCCCAGGTGGCTCAGGGTTAAAGAATCTGCCTGCTAATTTAGGAGATGCAGTTTCAGTCCCTGGGTCGGGAAGATCCCCTGGAGGAGGAAATNGCAGTTTCAGTCCCTGGGTCGGGAAGATCCCCTGGAGGAGGAAATGACAACCCATTCCAGTATTCGTGCCTGAAAAATCCGATGGACTGAGGAGCCTGGCAGGCTACGTCCAAAGGGTCACAAAGAGTCGGATACAACCTAGCCACTAAACAACAACAGTGTGATATATATATATATATAGATAGATAGATAGATATATGTATGTATGTATGTATATACATATGTGTGTATATATATATATATATGTATATAAAATGCTGATTCCTAGGCTCTGGTCTTTAGCAGGTCTTAGGTTGAGGGAGTTATTTTGGGGAGCCCCCTTGGTGGCCCTCTGCCCCTTGACACCGTGAACTCTGCTGACTTGTCACAGAACACAAGCAAGCCTGTGCTGATGATGACACAGCGCCAGTCCTTTAGCTTCAAGACCCTGGAGGATGTGCCAGCCAAAATTCTGGGCCTTCCGTATCGAGACCATGACCTCAGCATGTTCCTGCTGCTGCCCAATGACGTGGGCGGTCTGGAGAAGGTAAAGCCTTGCCTCTTCCTCCTTCTGCCTTCATCTCCTGAGGCTCTCTATCCCAGGGCTTGTTTCTGGGTGTGTCTAGAGTTAGGGCTCTGATCTGGAGCTGGTGAAATAAAAATATTTCTGTGTCTGCAGCAGGTAAAGATGGGTATCTAAAGAGAAGCATTAAATGGTGTCAGGTTTATTGAGAAGTACCAATACTAAAATATTCGGGGATGAGATAACATGAACATTTGAGGTCACATAGGAGTTCTAAAGATCACCCACCATTCTCCAAAGTGGTTGATCTCTCTGGACCCTTTCTCCCAGGGAAGAAAATCACCTATGCACGTAGACAGCAATTTCAAATTCTATTCACAGTCTGTTGGACTTTCTGAATTCCTTTGTTAGACATTTCATTTTTTTAAAGACTTTTAAAGGGCAATTTTATGTTTACAGCAAAACTTAGAGGAAGGTACAGAGATTTCCAGTAGACCTTGTGCCCCCATGTGCCGCAGCCTCCGCATAATCAGTGTCACTTAGCAGTATGTTTTTTTACCCCAAATAAACCTACCTTGACTCATAATAAAAGTCCATAGGACCCTTAATCATAAATCCCTTGATTTAGGCCTGTCCACTGGTTGCTCAGACATTAAAGAATCTGCCTGTAATGGGGGAAACCTGGGTTTGATCCCTGGGGTGGGAAGGTCGCCTGGAAAAGGGAATGGCAACCTGCACCAGGATTCTTGCCTGGAAAATCCCATGGTCACAGGAGCCTGACAAGCTATAGTCCATGGGGTCAAAAAAAGTCAAACACAACTGAGTGACTAATACTTAAACTAAAGCTACTTTGTAGTTAAAATATTGATGTGGTGAGTAGCCTGTATTTTGGAGAACAGGAAGGTTGTTTCAAATCCCTGTTCTTCTATTTAGTAGCTTTCTACCCTTTGATGTTTCTCAATTTCTTTGAACCTCAATATTTTCTCATTTATAAAATGGGTTCCATAGTTCTTAATGTGTGTGTTGTAATGATTAGAATATATATATATATATCATATATATATATGCACACACATACATATACATGTACACTCTGGACCAACTCTAAGATATCTCCTAGAATGGATCTAGGACATGAAAAAAACTTGCCTAGAATGGGTCCAGTTCTTGGAAAGTGCTCAATAAATCAATGGATGCTGTATTATTAAGATACTAGATGCTGTGCTGCTTCTGTGAAACGTGTTTAGCAGCATTATATGTTGGCAAATATTTTGGGAAAGCAAAATGACAGTATGTATGCAAGCTTTATGAGATGGACATACTACTTACTGTTCTAACAAGGCATTTATCTGCAAGCTGTAAAGTATTCATAATCTGACTCAAAAACTGCAGTTGTGGGAATTGCTGTAGGGAAATAATTCAAGAGAATAAAATTTACTTTCTGAGCCAAATCAGTAGCATCTTCATTAAATACCTGGTGACTCAGATAGTAAAGAATCTACCTGCAATACAGGAGACATAGCTTCGATCCCTGGGTAGGAAAGATCCCCTGGAGAAGGAAATGGAAAGCCACTCCAGTATTNTAACAAATTGCATTCATTATAATTTCATAAATTAAGTACATTATAATATAGTAATATATAAACTATAATATTCATTATATTGATAGTATAATATATAAGATAGTATATAAATTATATAATACATATGTAGACAAAGATTAAAAGGGAATAGTAAAAAATGAAATAATATATATTAAGTTAATAAAATAAGAAATGACTTAAAAATGTATTTACATGCAATAGATTTTCAAACATATACAGATAATTTAAATATAGAAATATGAGGAGAGCCTAGTGTGTGTGTGTGTGTGTGTGTGTGTGTGTGTGTGTATAGCAGTTGAGTGAAATAAAATTTCTGCTTTCATTTGTTACTAAAACTAATAATAATTTCTGACTGACATACACTAGTATTGCACTGTTTGGAATTTGCACTGATGATCGGGCCATTCTTCTCTTTTTTTCCTTAACAGATTATAGATAAAATAACTCCTGAGAAGTTAATAGAGTGGACTAGCGCGGGGCGTATGGAAGAGAGGGCCGTGGACTTGCGCTTGCCCCGGTTCCGGGCGGCGGGCAGTTACGACCTGGAGGCCGCCTCCGCGGGGCTGCGCGCCGCCGGCCTCGCGGGGAGCCCCGGGGGCGCCGGGCTGCGGGCCCACAAGCTGCTGCACAGGGCGGTGCTGGAGGTGACCGAGGCGGGCACGGAGGCTGCGGCCGCCACCGCTGTGGGCTTCGCCGTCACGGCGGCCCCAGACTGGGAACGTTTTCACTGCAATCACCCTTTCCTGTTCTTCATCAGGCACAACGAGTCCGACAGCGTCCTTTTCTTTGGCCGATTTTCTTCTCCTTAGCACAGTCCCTGCCTTGGTGAACAGCCGCCGCCACCTGTGCTGGGGTGTTCATAGGCTTATGGCAACAGCCCGCTCTTTAAAAAATTGTTTTACTTGAATTCCAGCCTTACCATCAAAATCAATGATTAATGACTGCAATATTTACAAATTTCTCTGAAACTGAAATGTTTTGTTTGTGACGTGCGGATAGCAAGTCAAATCAAGGCTCCTTAATAGGCTTCCACTGATTTCCTCTAGGAAATCAATGCTTTGTACTTTTGTGCACTAATGGAGAGAAACAGTCTCTTTTGTGAAGACCGTGGACTAGTGATTTTGAGATTCCCACCAGTTTCAATATTTTGGTAGTTTATAACACAGGAGTAAAAGAAAACAAAGATTTATATTCAGTTCATGTGTTGCTTTTTTCTTTCTTAGCATATAGTGTGGCAAACTTAACCTAGGAAAGAGAATTGAGAAACACATTAGCAAAACATAAATTAAAACTCAAAAACCAAAACAAAATAAAGCAATCTACCAGGCAGAGGGGATTCCCATATTTTCATCCTCTGTTCAAATAGTAGATTATCCATTGTCAGTTTCATGAGCATTTTGATATTGTGAAATAAATGTGATCATAAAATACACCATTTTAAGCCTAGAACTTGACACATTTTGATAACTGTGCACATGAAAACACTATCACACCCAGAATACAGAACACTTGCATCATCCTCCGAGGTTCTTTGCTCTGCTTCTGAGTCAGCGTTCCTTGAACAAACCCTGATCAGCCAACAGCTGGTCTGCCTTTAACCACTCCAGGGTGGATCTGTCATTTCTAGTTTCATTCAAATGGATTCAGACTATGTCCTCTTTCATGTCTAGCTTCTGTCGCTCGGCACTGTGTTTTGAGAATCATGAGACTAGTTGGGGCATCAGTAGTTGATTACTATCTATTGACAAGCAGTGTTCCACCATCTGGATAAACCACATTTTGTTTATCCATTCACTCATGGACGGGCACTTGTGTTGCTTCCAGCGCATGGCAGCTGTACACAATGCTTGTTGTTTAGTCGCTCAGTCGTGTCCAAATCTTTTGTGACCCCGTGGACTGTAGCCTGCCAGACTCCTCTGTCCCTGGGATTCTCCAGACAAGAATACTGGAGTGGGTAGCCCTTTCCTTTTCCAGGGGATCGCCCCAACACGGGGGTTGAACTCACGTCTCCTGCATTGCAGGTGGATTCTTTACCACTGAGTCACCAGGGAAGCCAATGAATAATGTTACTATGCCCATAAGTGTGTGAACGTATGTTTTCACTTCTCTTTGAGTAGATAGCCAGGAGCGAAATTACTGGGTCAGATGATAAATACATGTTTAATTGTATAAGAAACAGCTAATATGTTCTCCAAAATGGCTGTACTATTTTCTACTACAAGCAGCGAGTGAACATCGCAGTTGCCCTGAAGACACACCGGTGGGTGGTGTGGCCAGTCCGCTTCATTATAGCCGTTCTCGTGGATGTGAGGTGGCATCTCATTGTGGTTATGCATTTTCCTTTGACTAATAATGTTGAGCATCTTTTTTTTTTTTAATACAAATCTACAGCTTTAATGTAACAACAAATCATAAGTACATGTGTTAGCTATCTTTCTCTAACATTAAAGTAGTATATGTTTCATTTTTTGTAAAAACATATGCAATGCATAAAACCTTTAATCCCATGTAATACAGTCTAACAAGTGTGAACCACGTAGAATGTTAAGATTTTCTTTTATGTGAAGATATACACTTCAGTCTATTATCACAGGCATTGTAAAGGTGACCCAAAAATGTTTATCGTTTGCAACTGTATATAGAGAACAAACCGCCCAGAAATTAGTGTTTCTTGATAATCCTACTGAGTGGTATTAAAGTGGCCTGCCTGAAAGGGCAAATTACTTATCTGGAAACTTAAAATAGCAGAGATCAATGTATATTAAATAATACATGAGTGAAAAAAATATACAATGTACAATAGCAGGAGGTTACAAAACTGAATACTGTGTAAAAGATTTATTAGTCTGTACAAGTTTGTACCAAGATTTTCACTGCAACAGTATTTTCCCATATACATCGAAATCTGGAAGCAATATGCCTTTCTCAAATTATAGTTTAGTGTTTTTTTCCCCCAACCCTCAAAACACGAAAATATGTTTTTGAATATCAACTAGTCATTTATGGAAGTCGTAAGATACAGATATTCATTAACATTACACAAGCTATAATTGAACTACCGGAACAAACACCACCAACATTTATGGGAAAAGGTGTTGGTTTTAAAGGTGATAAGTGCTACATGAGTTACATAAACATACTACTCCTGTCCTGAAACCAAAATGGGGGAACCTTATTGCCATTCTGTCAAACACCACACAACCCAAAATGCTGCACAGAGGCTCATGAAGCCATGTACACATCACAGAATTAAAACTCCAGCTAAGTAATGAGCTACTCTTGAAGGCAAGGAAGACCAAACTTCTTTAACATATTAATGCTACTTCAGAAGTATCAGAACAAACGGGATTTAATTATAAATTGGCCTCAACCACATCCTGCAAAGAGGATTTTGCTTAGTACTAAAGAGAATCCGTCAGCGAACATCCTAGGAAAGCTGTGGAATCATGCTCTTTTTTAGTCCTGAAGGGAAATCTGCCAGGTTTGATGACATCTGTTTATCTCCCAGTGGTCCTGGGAGTTCTACAATACCAATTAATTCAGTAATTGATAAGTATTTAAGCAAAAAGGAGACCAAAACTAGACTTTGTATCGACATATACTAGAGAGGTGGATTTTTAAAAAATCACATGATGAATGTAAATCATAAAATCAAATGTACTTATAAAGGTACACCTATTTTATGTTACATAAAAAACTGCAGATTGCAAACTGTGCATGCTTACGTTTTACCTGGAAAAGTCAATGAGTGGGCTTTCTCACAAATATTTACTGCCATGATACAAAACAAATATGTGCAAACTGCAAGGTCCCTAAAATAGCAGTTAGAGAGTTTATATACAGAAAGATGACATTATCTGATCAAATAGGCAAGAGATGGCGTCTCCCAGAGTTTATAACACAGAACAGTAACCACCACACGCTCCGCCTCCTTGGCCTTCTTCCCTGGGTGTCAGCTTGACTCCTTTATTCTGGTTCTCACTTGCCCACAGTCCAGGGGTCTGAATGATCTTTTCAACAAGTTCCTCAAAAGCACACTGTACACCATCACAGGTTTTTGCACTTGCCTGTATAAATAACATGGAATGCTTTCATGCAAATTTCAGGCCTTCATTTCTATCAACTTCACGATTTTCCTTATCAATTTTATTTCCAACTAGCGTGTTTACTATGTCATTTCTCGTGCAGTATGTTTCCAACTCATTTAACCAATTATCCAGTTTAACAAAGGTGTCTCTTCTTGTGACATCATAAACTAAAATAACCCCCTGTGCACCTCTATAATAGCTGGGAGTTAATGTTCTGAACCTTTCTTGACCAGCAGTATCCCATATTGCAAGTTTTGCCTTATTTCTGTCCACTGAAATTATTTTCACCTTAAAATCAACACCTATTGTTGCTGCAAGTTCTGGATCAAAAGTATCGTCTGTGAACCTCAAGAGCAGGCTGGACTTGCCCATGCCGCTCTCGCTGATGATGAGGATCTTCAGGGTGGTTAGCACGTCCTCGTCCATCCTGACCCTGCTCCGCACCGCGAGCAGCTGGCCGCCCCTTCCGCTTTTCCAATGTTGAGCATCTTTTCATGTGCATATTGACCCTGCGTGTATATTCTTATGTGAAATGTCTGTTCAAATTTTTTGCCCATTTTTATTAGATTGTTTACTTTTTTTTTCATTATTGATGTGTAATTTCTTTTAATATATTCTAAATAAAAATTTTCTGTCAGATGTATTTTTCTTAATGGTGTCATTGAAAAGCAGTTTTAAATTTTAATGGGATCCAATTCATTAATTTTTTTCTTTTATGATTTCTGTTTTTCTGTCTTATTAGAGAAATCTTTGTCTATCTCAAGTCTGCTAAGACTTTCTCCTAGAACTTTTATGGTATTGAGCTTTTGCATTTAGATCTATGAATTTTTTAATTTTTATTTTTTTGTATACCCAATAGTCTTTTTTATTTATTTATTTATTTTAATCGGAGGCTACTTACTTTACAATATTGTAATGGTTTTTGCCATACATTGACATGAATCAGCCATGGGTGTACATGTGTTCCCCATCCTGAGCCCCCCTCCCACCTCCTTCCCCATCCCATCCCTCTGGGTCATCCCAGGGCACCAGCCCTGAGCACCCTGTCTCATGCATCCAACCTGGACTGGCGATCCGCTTCACATATGTTAATATACGTGTTTCAATGCTATTCTCTCAAATCATCCCACCCTCGCCTTCTCCCACGGAGTCCAAAAGACTGTTCTATATGTCTGTGTCTCTTTTGCTGTCTCACATATAGGGTTATTGTTACCATCTTTCTAAATTCCATATTATGCCTTAGTATACTGTATTGGTTTTTTTCTTTCTGGCTTACTTCACTCTGTATAATAGGCTCCAGTTTCATCCACCTCATTAGAACTGATTCAAATGTATTTTTTTAATGGCTGAGTAATATTCCATTGTGTATATGTACCACAGCTTCCTTATCCATTCATCTGCAGATGGGTATCTAGGTTGCTTCCATGTCCTGGCTATTGTAAACAGTGCTGTGGTGAACATTGTTCAGTTCTGGTTGTCTCGGTGTGTATGCCCAGCAGGGGGATTGCTGGGTCATATGGCAGTTCTATGATTTAGTTTGAATTAATTTTTGTGAAATATGCGTGTGGTGTTGCAGAAACCAGTACTCGAGAAACCAAGCACCACACTTGTAGAGTTGGAGGACTCAGGTTTATTACGCCGGCAGGCCCAGAGGAGTTAACGCTCCAGGCTCTGAGCCCTGAACAAAGGGATTACAGAGTTTTAATAGACAGACGGTAGTGGCAACACTAGCTGTTAACAGGCTGGTTTAAACCAAGGGGTTTCACGCGCGGGAACAGTGGTCAAGATGGGGAGGGGGATGCCTGGTGTTTACATGGACAGGCACAAGCAAGCAGGTTTGCAGGGACTGGGCAATTGCAAAGAGCAGGACAAGGGTGAGTGAGGTAAACTCCAGTTCCTAGTATTGTAAGTCCCCGCTGTCTGAGACTATGTGACCTACGTGATCCAGACTTTGCAAGGGGCAAGCTGAGTTACAGAGGCAGCAGGAGAAGGAGGTGATGTAAAATTTTAACTTTTCCTCTTCAGTGGCTCATTATTTTTAGTGTGGACATTCAATCATTCCAGCATCACTTGTATTCTGAAAAGACGACATTCACCCTCAGTGGTTTAAGTGCCTTGGCACCTTTGTGACATGTACACACGCTCGGTCTGCTTCTAGACCCTCTTTTGGTCCCCTGATCTGTTTCTATCACATGTCACTACCTCCGCCTCCCTGAGAATAGCCCCCTCCTGCGGTTTAATTTGCCTAACAATAACGTAACCGATCAGGCTTTCATATGGCCAGCGCGGCGGACTGTGCCTTTTGCATCCTTTCCGTTAACCTATTCGTGTTCTTAGGTGGGGTTTTTAGAAAGGACTTCGTTGCTTATTTAGTTTTGGGGGCTCCGGGTCTTTGTGCACGCGGCTCTCGCCAGTCGCGGTTCTCGGGCTCCTCAGGCGGTGACTTCTCCGGCTGCGGAGCCCGGGCTCTCGGGTGCAGGGCCTCAGCAGCTGTGGCTCCCCAGCATGCGGGGTCTTCCTGGACCAGGGATCGAACCCGTGTCCTCTGCACTGGCAGGCAGATTCTTAGCCACTGGACCACCAGGGAAGTCCTGCTTTTGTTTTAAGTAGACATTGTAGACTGGGATGTTCTGATCATCCCATGGGTGTAAAATGGACTGCCCACCAAAAAAACAAAGAGGTTGGATGCTGAGATTAATGATCCCACACCTGCCCCACGGATGCTAATTCCTCGTGTAATGAGGCTTCTGGGGAGTCTGTGGCAGGGTTCCTGGCTGCCGAGACCCTGGAGGGCTCGACTGTGGTGAGGAGCTGGGCCCGGCGAAGGGCTCCTGGGCTCGGCCGCGCTTGCTCGGCTTGCACTTCCTGCAGGTACCGGCGGAGGGAGCTCCAGGCCGTTCCTCGTCAGCAGGCTTAGTGGGGGTCTCCAGTGTTCTTGCCTGGAGAATCCCATGGACAGAGGAGCCTGGCGGGCTACAGTCCACGGGGTCACAAAGAGTCGGACACGACTGAGTGACTAAACCACAGGATGTTGTCAGTAGTCAATTATCAAACATGAGTCAGACTCTTTATTACACCGGGTCTTGCTTTTTAAATATAGTCTGACAGTTTCTATCCTTTTGTGTGAGTTTGTGTATCAATTGCTCAGTCGTATCCAACTCTTTTACCAACCCACGGACGATACACCGCCAGGTTCTTCGGTCCATGAAATTTTCCATGGAAGAATACTGGAGTGTGTTGCCATTTCCTACTCCAGGGGATCTTCCCGACTCGGGGATTGAACCCGACTCTCCTGCATTGCAGGCAGATTCTTTACTGTCTGAGTCAAACAAGTTTGTGTGCCCCATGTAGAGAGGTCAAACAAACTGAAACATCAGAGATTGGAGCAGAGAAAGGTTTATTGCAGGACTCAGCAAGGAGAATGAATGGCTTGTGCTAAAAAAACAAAAAACCAAAAAACTCTGAACTCTCCGATGATTTGGAGGGAGGACTTTTTATAAGCAAAATTTGGGGTGAGCACTGCAGGGCATATGATTCTCTTCCAATTGGTTGTTAGCAGGGTGGTGCTCTAGGAAAGGTTTGCTCAGCCAGAAGGAAGTTACCATCCTCCACTTGGGACGGGGGGCTTAGTTCCTCCAGAAAAGCTCAAACATGTTATATCCCTTGAGGGGGAACCAGGATCCCACTTTAATGTTGCACTATAGTTTCTTAATTGTTCCTCCTTTGTTTCTGCATTTCCTCCCTTGCCTGAGCAAGCAACTGTTTGAATCTGCCCTTTGGTACTCACGGGCTTCTCTCATAGTTCAGTTGGTCAAAATTCTGCCTGCAGTGCAGGAGACCCCAGTTCAATTCCTGGGTCGGGAAGATCCCCTGGAGAAGGGATAGGCTACCCACTTCAGTATTGTTGGACTTGCCTTGTGGCTCAGCTGGTAAAGAACCTGCCTGCAATGTGGGAGATCTGGGTTTGATCCCTGGGTTGGGAAGATCCCCTGGAGAAGGGAAAGGCTACCCACTCCAGTACTCTGGCCTGGAGAATTCCATGGACTGTATAGTCTATGGGTCACAAAGAGTCAGACACAACTGAGCGACTTTCACTTTGGTACTCAGGAAAACCTAGGAGACTAAAGCCTTTTTCTTATGAGTAACAAACTGGGACAAGAAAAGGATTTGGTGACCAGGAAGGTCCCACTTGGTCCTATTTGTTTTCACTTCCAAGTTGATTGCATGCACAGGTGTTCAGTCATGTCCAACTCTTTGTGACCCCACGGACTGTAGCCCGCCAGGCTCCTCTGTCCATGGGATTCTCCAGGCAAGAACACTGGAGTGGATTGCCATGCCCTGCTACAGGGGATCGTCCTGACCCGGGGATCGAACCCACGTCCCTTGCGTTTCCTGCATTTGCAGGTGGGTTCTTTACTGCTGCACCGCCTGGGAGCCCAAAGTCACACCGTCTTGTATCCCCATCAGCAAGGCATGGGAAGTTTCCTTGCTTCACTTTCCTTCCAATATTTGAGGCAGCCAGATCTTAACTTGGGCTATAATCCTTTCATATTCTGGTTCCAGCCTACTTCTTCAGGCTTATCATGCTCCACTTTGGTTTTGAATTTTTTTTTAATAAATTCATATGTTTCCAAATTATCTTTCCAATGTGTGGCAGGCCCCTTGCACTTCGTTGAAAAGAAAGAAGGAAGAAAAAGAAAAACACCAAGTAAACTGAAAAAGTACTGTTTTATTGATCACCTGTTTAATAAGAGCAAACATTTTCAGCTTGTAAGCGTCCCCCATATCACTTAAACGCAAATAAATGTGGAGGTCTAGCTGAGTAGACTTGAATAGTAGATGTGATTTTTGAAACAGCAGATATATTATTTCAAAGTTAGGTGAAGATATAATATTGACATATCCTTTTATCATATGTTGAACATTTTGTCCAAATGGGAGTTTCCATGAGTAGGTTTACATGTGTTTGTGGAAAGAGGGAGAAGGACAGACATGCTCTTTCAGCGATTATATTCTTAGAGATGACTATAAGGTTGGAAAGGAAAATAAATCCAAGGGAGATTGTTACATCAGCATTCAAGCTCCAGGAACAGCTCTGTGAATGTCCCCGAGTGTGGCCGCTGGCCAAGGACGTCTAAGGGGAAGAGACTCGGCCACAGAAGAGGATGCTGTTGGTCTTGATGTGCTTGATGAGGAACAGGAAAGGGTGATTGCAGCAGAAACTCTCAGAATTTCTTCCTGCTCTTACAGTAATTTCTACGCCGGTAGCAGCTGCGGCCTCCGTGCCCTCCTCGGTCACCTCCACAAAGCACTTGTGGACGACCGTCGACACCACCAGATCACGTCTCCCGGTCATGCCCGAGAAATCAGCCACCCCATCACGGAAGGCGTCCACCATCCCCAGGGCTTGCAGTGTGGGCACGAGGTCATATCTCTCTTCCACTTTAAACCGAGGCAGGTATAAATCCACTTGTCTCTTCCCCATATTCTGTGGGCTCGTCCACTCTATTAGGTTCTGAGCAGAGAGCTGGTCTTCAAGCTGTAACAGTGGGAAGGGAGCAACCGTCAGGGTCCTCAGTGGTCATGGAGCCGCCTACCTCGGACGGAAGTGTATGGGAAAGCTTTGTTTTAACAGCAAACATGAATACAGGAGAGTCAGCTGTGTTATACATACACACTTGCTATACTATATACATATGATATTTGTGTATTGCATGTAATCTCATTATATATTATAAGCTGAATATTTTGTAATATTTATGTGATAAACTGAGCCTTCTGTGTATATATATATATATATATATGTGTGTGTGTGTATATATACCCATATATAACAGCAGAACCATTAAATAAATTTATTTTGTAAAAGAGGAACTATATATCTTCACTTCTTAAGTTACCAGAGCACTACATGTTTCATTTTCAAATAATCTTGTCTTATCAATGTCTTTTTGTGCATAGTTTTTTGCATGATATAATTATAGTGTACAATCCATTATTATTCCTTTTACTTGCTTGACCTATTTGAAAACTTTTCCTGTATAGATGTGTTTCTCTAATCGTTTAAATTGTTACATAATACCACCATTAAGTAGAGATTCAGTGTATGTGTTTACTTAATTAATATTTTTAAGCATTGTGTGTTAGTCCCTAAGCTACTGCATATATATTTAATGTGTGGCAAGTTCACTGCAAATTCAGCATCGTTGGCTATTATAGTAATTGCAGATGGCCATTTATGGTATGACTTTTATATGCCAGATATTGTTATTGGTTTCTTTACAAATTATCTTGAACCAATATAACAATGCTAAAAGGAAGATTCACTTTTCTAAAATTCCCAGCAACGAGGCTCCAAATAACTCTGAGAGAATACTTCTAAATAGAAAGTGAGCATCAAGATAGGTTGGTTTGTCTCCTCTCTATGAAGTATGTGATTCAGTCTGCAGAATGGAGCTCAGCATTGTTTTACTTTGATTTTGTTCATGTGTGAATTTACATATATTTTCCATGAGTCATCTACATTTGACTCTTAGTTTCCCCTGTCTTCAAATGAATAGACTGGAATAGGTGAGGTTTTGATGGTTGCAAAATACTAACATGTGAGCCAAGTGTATTATTTTTTGAACTGATATTCTAGTTTTCTCAGAATATTACTGGGCCTGTGAAGTTAAGATTTTCTACATATTCTTCCATATCACACTGGAAGGTCTATTTTTTGGGAAAGTGACAGGATGCCAAGTTCACCTTCATGATTTTCCATTAGACTCAACACAGAGAAGTACACACTCCAGTACTTTGCTCTTATGGCGCATCACTAGCATTCTGTGAGCACTGCTTCCGTGAACAGCCCACACAGGCCCTGTGTCACCAGCAATTTAAGCAACAGCATGAAGCGTCATAGCTGCCGGGTTTTACCTCCTGCAGACCATCTACTTCATTGGGCAGCAGCACCATCATGCTTAGCTCTTCGCCTTTGTACGGGATTTCCAGGATCTTGGCTTGCACGTCTTCCAGTGACACGAAATTGAAATGATTGGCTTGTTTCATCATCTGCACAGGTTTGCTTGTATCCTGCAATAAATTCATGTGTCAAAAAAAGTTAAATGGGCATTAGTCCAAAAAAAAAAAAAAAAGATAATCTTATTGAGATACCAAACTCATCTTCCTTCTAAGAGACAGTGTGGGAAATCTGTGAATTAGAGACAAGAGTTTCTTCAACTATTACCAACTAAATAAAGGGAAAAAAAGCCTCGATAGATCCACTTCTACTAGCAGTTATAGAAGAAATGATCAAATATGTATTTAACTTTCACATTGCACACAGAGCTATGTTACATTATTAAAAATTAATTACAGACAATACCTTGTTCAACCAAAACTTTTCCTCCACAGTATTTTCTTTGTTAAATTCCTGGTTCCACTGCCCTTTGAAATAGACGGCGTTCACCAGAACCAGAGCAGTAGAGCTGTCGAGAGAGTCTTCGGGAAACAGATCTTTGATTTTTTCTGCAAAGACAGAAAATCAAAAGTCTGTCATGAAAGGTACGAGTGGTTTGTCTGGAAGATGGTTAGAAAGTTGCAAGCGATGATTAAATATTCACACAAGTCAGCCCGTGAGGGACTCCATGCCCAGCGGTTCACCAGGTGAGGCCTTGCTCACGGCCCCGGCCTGATGGAGACGGCCCTGCTCCTGACTGGGAAGGTGTTCAGTCTGTGTGTGTGGGGACATCAGTCACCTCACAAGGAATCCTGATGAACTGAGTTTAGATAAGGTTTCCCCAAGTCAAATTTTCTGCATCCCTCCCTCACTGTCTCCTAGCATGTCCTTTCCTGTTTCCTCCTCCCTGTGTTCATTCTCCTTTTCTTCCTTCCTTCCTCCCTCTCTGTCTTTTGAAATTTGAGCTCAATATTCCGAAGAAGTAGCCAGAATATTCTTCTGGACAATCAACATGCACCCAGTAATCTAGAGCACATGGGAGACACCATTCCCTGAGGAGTCTTCTTCATTCTCCACGTTGAGCTGCTGTAGGTTAAGACTATATTTCGGAAGGGAGGCAGGATAAGGCTCATGGGATGGAGACGTTGTCCAGCCCCCTCCCTGGGCGGGGAGGACACCTGTGACATCCTGTGGGAGGGGGACGTGGGCCAGGAGCCTCCTCCTGCAGGTGGTCATTTCTTCAAAAAGGGTGGTTTGGGGGAGAGAAGGTTGTTTCCCAATTAACAAAGGGACCCTTTCTAATATCTTCTCTTAGGGATCATAACCCAGAAGTTAAGCCTCTAATTAAAAGAAAAACTTATGAATCAACCTGAAGTCTGAGCAGAGAGCTGGGATCCACAAAGACACTGTCAACCAGACTCAGCTGTGCCTGCAGGGGGCTGGTCCTGGGAGCCCCCCGCCCGCTTCTCTCCTCACTGTCGTGGACCGTCCACCCCCTGCAGGCCCCCCACCCTCTGCAGTCTCGAGTGCTGTGTTCACACACAGCGGGGACTCAGCAGTGACTCTCTCATAACCTACCATTGGTTTGGCTCTCCACCCAGGAGTTAATCAGCTTTCGACTTTCCTCTGCAGCATTTTTAAAATCAGCAGATTCCACACTGGCTAGATAAAATTTCTTAACATTATCCATGTATTCCTATGACATGAGCAGGAAGAAAGGAGGAATGAAATGTAAATTTATCAGCAACTATGTAGGTATTTCCAAATAAGTTAAATTGTGTTAAATCCTGATCAAGCAGAGTTCATAGGCCAATCCATAGCCCCACCTCATTGGTGTGCTATCAGCCTCTGGGACACTCCAGCGGGTAGGGTTGTGGTTGGGGAGCCCGGCGCCCCTGGAAGAAATGCCCCGTGTGGGTCCCCAGGCTCCTCTGCCCCCTCCCCGGCACCCCCATTAGGAGATGGGGCCCAAGGACCCAGGATGAAGACTAAAGGTGTGACAGACCAGGAAACTCACCTGGAGAAATGGAAACTCCTTTTCTCCATAGAGCCTGTTGGCAACACTCAGCTCATAGGCATCAGTGGATTTCTTTAATTCCATCAGAAGCTTTTGAAAGTGATGATGAACTTTTCCTGGCTTTTCAACCTTCAAATATCAAAAAGTAAGCTCACTGGATTCTCTGTCAATGTAAACACTACACCCCCAGAGGTCTGTTAGATCACTGTCTAGAGGGTGGCATCCCCAGGGATGATGTTTGTGGTTATTTCTCCTAACTGGCCTGTGTTACTGGAATTAGCCTTCCTAATCTTTACATTAAATCTTCCAGGTAACTCTCTCTTCCTGCTCTAACACACTCCAACCTTCTCTCTGTTGAACTAGAGATGTATCAGCATTCCATTATCGCATTGTCTCTCAGTTGTCTCCAATGGTTAGGGGAAAGGTCTTGGCTAAACGTAAGCTCCTGGAGGGCTAGAGCCATGGAGAACTTCTAACAGTCATCAGCTACGTGAGAACATGAAATCTGTATATTGTCCTATATTGTGATTTGATGCCCTGTTATATCCCTTTGAGGGATTACCTTCTAAGACCTGTTGACTGTGATTTGTGGTTCTGCACTGTGACGGCCACACCTCCCAGTGTAGGAACAGTGGAGCCAGACAGACTGGGAACAGCTGTCCCTCAGCATCGCTAAGTCTTCAGTGCCATTCCCATGAAAACAGGAGAGCTCAGAGAGCTAAGAAAGTTCTCCAAGGAGATACAGATAACTTTTTCAACATAGGCTTGTCTCAATTCAAAATCTCTCACTTTCTGGCTAAGAGTTTTAGACTATTTAGATAAACGGTAGCTCTCATTCATTTTCCAAAATACTCCAAAATACACTTGATCATATGCTTATTGCTCTTAATCTAATTTAAGAGTTAATTAAAAGTATATAGTTGTAGCAACATATTGTGATTAACATACTTATTTTTATTCTATAATAATAATATATAACCTTTATCAGAGTTTCCACACCCTGGCCCTGCTGTCCTATTTGAATGTATTTGCACGCGATGCAGCAAACCTTGTATTGCTCCTGGCTAGTTGGGATGAAGTCACTGTGGCTCAGAGCCGTCGTATTTTTGCCATGTTCCTCATTCCTGAACAGCAGATCACTATCTGAAGCTCCTTCAGGTTTCAGAGCCCCTGATTTTAAGCATATGCCTCTCTACTTTCAGAAAAACAAAGATGCGAAGTAAATAAGTGAAGGGAAGTGAAGTGAAGCTGCTCAGTCGTGTCCGACTCTGTGATCCCACGGACTGTAGCCCACCAGGCTCCTCCGTCCAAGGAATTTTTCAGGCAAGAGTACTGGAGTGGGTTGCCATTTCCTTCTCCAGGGGATCTTCCCGACCCAGGGATCGAACCCAGGTCTCCCTCACTGCAGGCAGATGCTTTGCCATCTGAGCCACCAGGGAAGCAAATAAGTATGTAATGTGAAATGAGAGGGCTTTCCAGGCAGTGCCAGTGCTAAAGAAGCAGGAGACGTGAGAGATACTGGTTCAATCCCTGGGGCGGGAAGATCCCTCGGAGGAGGGCACAGCAACCCACTGCAGTCTTCTTGCTGGAGAATCCCACGGACAGAAGAGCCCGGCGGGCTGCAGTCCACGGGCCACAGAGAGCAGGACATAACTGAAATGATTTCACACACGCACACACATGTGAACTGAGAAACAACTCTCTCCAGTCTATCTTGCTCAGCATGACCTCTAAAAACGGACTTTTCCCAGTTTATCTGAAATCCCCAGTTTGAACTACGACCCTCTGGGACATATGACCTCCTCTACATCCAATGCTGTCTGACTCACGAGATTTCTTGTAGCTCTTCCTCTTGGGTTCTCTGTGATTTCATTGAAGTGAAGGACCTGGAGAAGACAGGAAGTGGGACAAGGAGTTTGTAACGAACTATACACATCAGAGTAAGTAAAAAAGAAACAATGGAAGGAGAAAAGAATACACACAAACAAGACTATATACCAAATAAATACCCCTCACAGAAACAAACTCAAGAAGACACAAAGAAAAAGAACACAGAAATGTTCAGTGAAAGCTTTCATCCTTAAAAAACACAAGCTGTGTGTGGAAAACACAAAGATGCTTGGTTGCTATCCACTTTAAAGAATCGTGTCTTATTATTCATTCATCGTTGAGGAAACATGTAAAGATGTCTCCCATGGGTTTTAGTCAGTGCCTCACTTCTTTCATTAAAGCCTCACCTCTGGCTGTTGGGCGATTGTAGGGGGTCATCCCAGCCCCCAGAGGAAGTCCGGGCACAGGAAGGCGGTGGGGAGCCCTGCGGGAGAGTGTGTGCCCCTCCCTGTGCCCACCCAGTCGTGGGGCTGCTTGAGCTTCCCGTGGGACCCCCGGGGACAGCCAGACCTGTGGTCATCTGCACTCCAGCCAGCAGACAAACCATGCAAACCTGTGACGGAGAGGCAGCTGCCACCTACCTTCTGCATTTCTGATGCGGTGTTTTCTCGGGCCCCTAAGTAAGTCATGGCTAAGGCTGACGAGATACTGAAAGGGGACAGGAAGATGTTTTCCTTCTCTGATTTTCTGATCTGGTGGAACAGATCGATTGCAAGGTGGATGACTGCTTCACCGAGGGAACTCATGGTGGCCGGATGTGGTCTGGAAGTCCTGGAAGAGCATCGGATGCATTTTATAATCACTCCAGTGAAGGGAGGCTAGTCTGTAATGAGTTTTTTTTTAATGCTGTATATGTGGGTTGCACGATTCTGGCAATCAACATTTCTCCTCTTCTTACTTTCTAAGCCTTTTAGAATGAACTGGTATGCATTTCTTAATTAGAGGACTATTGAAATTAGTTTTTAAAGAAAATTTGTGAAAAAGTAATAGAATATCTTTATCTTTTCCTCCGTAGTGATTGCATTAAGACTGGGTAAAAAATGGTTTATAACAGACACCAGGCAAAGATTGATGTGGTAACATTCAGCCATCTCCTGTTAGGCACCTTCCTCTATAGAAGGATCTTACTTGAAGGATTTGTGGGTCTTTGACATCTTACCCCTGATTACATGTGCTTCCAAAGAAGCAAGGTTTTTTGGGAAATAAATAAATAATCTAAGAACAAAATCAGGAGAAAAAGGTGTTTTACTTTTGCTCTGGCAGAATAAGTGAAGTACCACCATACCAAAGGAATATTAATAGAAGCAGGATAAGAAAAGACCATAATCCTTATTGTTTTCAGAAAGGATTCATGGAGTTACACAGAGCTTCTGGAAGCACTTACCCGTGTTCCTGGAGGAGCTGGGCAGGCAGTCTGCAAGCCTGTGTGACGGGAGTGCTCAGCCCTGAATATATTCCTCTCTAGCCGCCTCCAGTGCCTCAAAGCAGCTGGTATTTCAAGTAGATCAACTTCTGATTTCTTCACCAGGTACTGTCACCTTCATAAGCACAGTCTCTGTGAGTGAAGCTTAGATTATTGTCCAATTCCTGTACTTCCTTCTCATCCCCAGAAGAAACCTAGAACTGCAACACCAGCTCATGTGAAATACCTGTAGGTGTCTAAGACCACTGACAGTAGTTAAACTCCAACTTCTTCACATCCCTTGAGCTACTATTTTCAAACAGACATAACCCATAAAATCTGTCTTCTCTCACATGTTGAATTGTCCTTAAGACTGCTTCTAACAAAAGTGATTAAATAGCTTACATTTTCTATTTTATGCTCTGAGAGCTGGTCCAATCTGACGATGTCCTTGAGAATTATTCTGCATAACTAGGAAAATATTTCGAATTCTCAGCTTAAGACATACTGGCAAAGTGTCTCAGCCATGTGTGGAGAATAGGTATCACTTGCCTTCCCCTAAAAGCAGGACCTTGGCTGCGGTCCTCCCTGTGACCCCAATCCTCCTGACAGCCACCCAGCTGGTTCCCGAGTTCTAATGTCAAAGGGAAGCTCATTTTCCTGCAGAGTCGCCTGCTCTCAGGAGGAGCAAGATGTAAATAAACAGAGGCCATTTGGGGGGCAGTTTTCACATTCTTACACAAAGATGTATCAGAAAAATAAATCGAGGTCCATTATAAAGACATTTCTCAGTCATCCTGCTCTGTAGCACACCAATCTGACTCATGCTCAGGAGGACAGTCAAACGCCTGTGAAAGAAGAGACAGGGAACCGTGTTCTCCGAATGTCATGGTTAAGTCTCTTATGCTGGAGCCACATTCTCTTCATGCGTTCGGCGTTCCAATAACAGAATGATGTCATAAATTGTTGACGTTTACTAAGGGGGGTTATGTATTCACCCATTTTCCTCTTTAACACCATATTCAGGCAGATCCGTTGTTTTCCCCATTTCACAAAGACAGAAATGAGGCACAGCGTGGTGGGGAGGAGAAGCCCAGGTGTCTAAGGCGGTGAATTGTCCAGGTGAGCTCTCCAGGCAGGAACCTAGCTCGGGAGACTGCTTGTGTATCCACTCCCCAGAGGGAGGTGTGGAGATAGACTCTCTCCAGCCTTTACTGACAAATCTCCTTGTGTTTAAATGAAAAGAACCTGCGTCTTCTGCCCTCTCAAGAGAGATCACGTCCTCCCACAAAATCTGGAGGGGTGGAAGTGGGTCTCCAGAATCTCCTCTGTGAGCCTCACAGTCACTAGGAGTGAAGGCTGGGTTTCAGATGGTCTCTTGGGGCGGCGTAAAATTTAGAAACTTCACTGTGGACATTTGTTTTAATATCTCAGGCATTTACCCAACAGTGAAACATCTGGGTCACATGGAAAGTCGATGATTTACGGCCGCCGGGCTGCCCTCCCCAGCAGCGGCTCCGTTTTATTTTTCCACCAGCCTGTGATGGAAGCACGCGTGTGCGGCACTGATTCTCTGCTCCTCCCCAGGTTTGTTACTGCCCTTGCTCCTTTTTTAACCTCTGCCGGGAGCAGAGTCCGTTATCAGCGTGTCACTCACTCACAGGAAGACCCGCCCACCCCAGGGTCCCGGAAGCCCAGGGATGGAGACACGAGCTGGGGGAAGGGGAGGCCTGGGTGTCTAAACCGCAGAGACGGTTCCTGAGCTCAGCCCTGCTGCTCTTAGGCCTCCTCCTGGTTACGTGTGTCCTGACCCCCGGACACTGGCGGTCAGAGACCCCTGAGCTGAGACGGGTGGGCTGAGCGGGAGTGGAGTCTGCTGGAGTCTGATGGGGGAGCTGAGTCTAAAGAAGAAGGAAAGAGCAGGAGAGAAGACCCAGGGTGAAAAACGACAGACACGAGGAATGAGAGCGCCCAGTCAAGGCTGCGTCACGGGCGCTGCCAGAGAACGGGAGGGCCCCGGGGCCGGAGCAGGGTGGACGTCTTCGGGCTCAAAGAGAAAGGCCTCTGAGCCCAGAGACAGAAGCAAGGAGCCCCGGCTGGGCCTGGAGGAAGCCCAGGGGACAGAGCAGGAGACGAGGACTCAAGGGAACCACTGACTGAGCGGATTCCTCCTGTGACTGAGTTACCGAGGCTGGTGGTGCAGAGGCTGGCTTTGAGGGAAAGGCACTAACTGATAAGTACCAGGGTTTTGCTAAAATTTTAGAGTGAACCTGGGTTAGTTCAAATAAGAAGACATGTGATACCTTTCTCTCCCTCCTTTTGAAAAGTGCTCCCGGCATGTATTAGACAAGGTGAAGACACGGTGATGTCACACAGTCACAGGACACTCAGCAATTCTTAGACCATTTTGCAAGTCAGTACTTGCCAACCTGTCTTTGGGTATTTTCTAAATACGCTAAGGTCACTGGCATCATGAGTCCAGGAACCCAATAAAGCTGAAGAGGAAATGACACTTGGAGGATCCATCCCACTATTTCTAATACCTATGTAGGTTGGTTAAGAATAGTTCCTGTTTTCCTACCGTTTTCTACTTCCTTGTGAGGAGTACGGTGATTTGTCAGCATTACTGAGTTGCACAACCTAGGGGGCAAGTGTGCAGTTGTGCCCGCCCGCAGGTAAGGTGGTAAGATCCTCCAAGCGTCCAGTAATAGGGTATCTGCCGATTACAGCTTTCCCCTAGTTGGGAATGCTCTCATCTGTAGGTGTGCTGTGAAAGATTGAGATAATTCATTCATCACCACTGTTCCCCCAACTCCCACAAATCCAATTCCACCCAAGACAGTCACTCTGCTCTCTACTTATCACCATTCTACCCTGTCACTTGCGGGTCTCTTAGAAGCCGTGCTTTGCTTCATCTTGGCTTTCCTGTTCTGCTGCCAGGAAATCTGCTAGGCTGTCCGTTTTCCTAGGACTGTCCCTCCTCCTCCTTGCTTCATCTGAAATGCGGATCTTCCCCATGACTGCATGTCCTCTGATCTTTTCTTAGAGGCACCTCCTCATTCTCCTACTTCATATTGTGAAGCCAGAAAACATGGTCTTCTCTTCCTCTTGTTTCCACCCTTTCCCAGCCGTTGTTCTTTCTTTGTCTTGATGCCCCTTGTCAAGTTTCCGACATGCAGGTATCTTACCATGTGCCCACCTGCCATCTTGTATATTGCTCCTTAGTATTCACTAATTGATCGCCTCTCCCTCAGTTATGATTTTGCTCTTCATCCTCAGTGCATTCAGCCTTTTCAGTGTCTTCCAACCTTGTATTCCATAGGTAATGGATGGAAGCCATGCTCACTCTATGTTCCAGCTCTGTTCCAGTCCAATCTCCTTGTTTGTGAAAATCTAGTCATGTCTTTTGTTCTTTTGTTATTTGGATCCATGGTCTTCCTTATCTATTTAAATATGCTCTTTATTTAAAGCAATGTTAATTATTGCTAATGCCTGTCACTGGAGCATTAATGAAGTGATAAAGTTCCAGAGGGAAGAAGAAATTTGATTACATGGGAAATCATGGATATGCTCGGGATTTTATTTTGCTTCTCCAGTTTCATCTTTCACTATCTCAACCTCTTCTGTCCCCAGGAGGCATAGATGCAGGGAGACATAATCAGGGTTCTGGTCCTCTGGGGAATGTTGTGTCTGGTCTGTGGGGGGCACCAAGAGTAGACCCGCAGCTGGGTGAGGTCAGGCTGCTCAGTCACCCCACTCCTCTCAGCTGGGTTGTCAAGAGATGGCTGCATTTCTTTACCAAAGCCTGGGGACATTATTGGGCAGCTTTTCTGCAGCTACAGCTACCTTCTCCTGATTTTGCCACCATTCCTGCCCTTGATGTATGCCTAGGAGTGGCAAGGTCTCTTCCCAGCTGCCGTCCCTTCATGCGTCCCCACTCTTTCTTGGTTTCTTTTAGCCCTGAGCATACTTTGTGCATGTGTGTGTGCACACTAAGTTGCTTTGGTCCTGTCTTTGTGACCCCTTGGACTGTAGCTCGCCAGGTTCCTCTGTCCACAGGGTTGTCCAGCAAGAATACTGGAGTAGGTTGCCATGCTCTCCTCCAGGGAGTCTTCCTGGCCCTGGGATTGAACCTGAGTCTCTTACAGCTCTTGCATTAGTAGACTGGTCTTTACCACCAGTACCACTTGGGAAGCCCTGAGCATACTTTGTATAGTCCCCTTATTCAACTTTCCTTTATCACCCACTTTGACTGGAGTCATTTGTTTTCTGCTAGACACTTGACTAGTACAGTGAGCAAATGGCTTTAGAAGAAACATCTTTGACAGGGATTTTGGGATTGGATTTATCCCATATTGAGTCAGGAAACAGCTGACTCATTGGAAAAGACCCTGATGCTGGGAAAGATTGAAGGCAGAAGGGGAAGAGGATGACAGAAGACGAGATGGTTGGATGACATCACCGACCCAATGGACATGAGTTTGACCCTGGGAGATACTGAAGGACAGGGAGGCCTGGCGTGCTGCAGTCCATGGGGTCACAGAGTCGGACATGACTTGTCGACAGAGCAACAACAGCTGCCCCATGCTGAGAGGCACTAGGGCAGAGGTGTAGGGCACATGTGGCATCAAGTTATCAGTGATGGAGGCGGGGCATGAAGTGCAAGTGGAAGGCAGGTGTTGGGACCTCAGTGACTGTGGTACATAGTTGCTGCTGTGACAATGTGTAGGATCACCTGCTTTCTTATGATGGGATAGGAAGGTCATCCAGCAGAAATCTGAAAGACATTTTTCAAGGATCTTGACAAGGAAATCCTAAATAAAAATAGATTTATTTACAGCAGTAAGGTTCTTAATCTTTCTAGGTCAGCAAAATGCACTTACTACCACAGTGAGATTAACAGCAATAAAGCTGACATTAAAAAAAAATTCTAAGTATTGGTATCATGTAGGAAATGGTGTGATGTAGAGGAGACTTACTGATATAGTGCTGATAAAAATGCTAGATAGTACAAGTAATTTAGCAATACTTCATGATATGTGATTGTTGGAGGGAGAACAAGATGGTGGAGGAGTGGGGGAACGTGGACTATGTCTCTCTCCACGGACACATCAGGAATACACCTTCAGACACAGAAGTGCTTGCAGAACACCAGCTAAGAGTGGACAGGAGGACCTGACCAGTGGAAAAGAATATATAGAACCATGCAAAACTTGGTAGGAGGAAGGAACTAGGGGGAAAAACAGGAGTGTTAGTAGGACTGGACCTGCCCTCGGCAGGTGGGGGAACTGAAGCAGGGGTCCAATCCCCACATCTGGGCAATTGTCTGAGTCAGAGGAGACACATTTAAGGCGAGAGTGAAGCAGCTGATCTGTGACAGCTTAAATGTAATGAGAGTCAGACAGTCCTTGCCACAGCCATACATGTGCCCGGCAGGGATGCAGATCCCTTGGAAGGTGCGGTGGCTGGGAGCTGGAGTTTAGGGATTGTGGAGCAATCCCAGGGTGAGGGCTGCGGTTGACTGCGGAGAGACGGATTGAGGGGATGTGAGGGAGGAGATCGTGGTAGAAAATGCCTGTGAAGGCAAGCCAGGCAGCCATGGAAGCAAGGCGATACTGCTGAGTCACACGTAGCAGGTGGAGCCATCACCATAGCCTCTCTCTCTACATACACCAGCATTGGCTCCTGAAGAATAGAGAGGCTGGCCCATCAAATGCCTGACTCACTGAACTACAGAGTAGGGCCCCACCCAGGGTGTCCCTTTAAGTGCCTGATGTGCTGAACTACAGAGAAGGACCCCAGCCAGGGAGCCCTCTAAGTGCCTGACCAGGTGGAGCTATGGAGAAAGACTGGCCAAAGAGGCCTTCTGATCGCCAGCTACAGGAGGCTCAAAAAAGACTCTGAAGGACTCTGATAGGGCTTCCCTGATAGCTCAATTGGTAAAGAATCCGCCTGCAGTGCAGGAGACCCTGGTTCGATTCCTGAGTTGGGAAGATCTGCTGGAGAAGGGACAGGCTACCCACTCCAGCCTTCTTAAACTCCCCTTGTGGCTCAGCTGGTAAAGAATCTGCCTGCAATGCAGGAGACCTGGGCTCAATACCTGGGTTGGGAAGATCCCCTGGAGAAGGGAAAGGCTCCCTACTCCAGTATTCTGGCCTGGAGAATTCTATGGACTCTATAGTCCATGGAGTTGCAAAGAGTCGGACATGACTGAGTGACTTTCACTTTCAGGGCCATAACTCCAGCGGCAGTGCAGTCTGTGTCCCTGAACTCTGGCACTGCCAGGGTCCCCGAAAGCCAAGCAGCCATGCCACCTTCACGCTCAACTCTCAGTAGAGCTGATAGAGGAGAAAAAAAAAAAATCTTGCATCTATGCATGCAGGGTTGCATTGTGTCCAACTCTTTGTGACTCTGTAGACTGTGGCGTGCCAGGCTCCTCTGTCAGGAGCATTCTCCAGGGAAGAATACTGGAGTGTATTGGCCAAGAATGGTTGCCATACCTTTTTTGAGCACTATATTTCCTGCTGCCCTAGCTGCAAACTTCCCTGAGTACCTGGTGCTGCCAGAACCCCTGAGACCCAAGCAGC